CCTGTATAGGAAATTTTTATGAGGCAGAAAAACCTAGCTTGGAAAATTCTACCCATTAAACACAAACAATAAAGCCCACTTAAATACCCACTGATGCTATTAACAGAGTCCATTTCCAAGGTCCTTCTAAGATGTCCCGTCCCCCCCCCCCTCAATGGGAACTGAACCCATGGATATTTTACCACATTTAAATTTTGACACATAGTCTCACTAAATTGCTGAGTGTCTGAATTAAGTTGCTGAGGCTAGCCACAAACTTGAGATCCTCCTGTCTCTGTCTCTCATTTGCTGGGATTGTGGGTGTGCACCCAGTTAAAGTTCTCCCTCCAATTCTTGATCATACACTTGAATATATTGCTATCACCAAAAAGTTAATTTAAAAAATCCTAACAGAAATATAAACATTTACTTCTTGCTCTTGCCAAGCACCACACTAAGTGGTTTTCATTCATTCTTTATTCCTCATTTACTTCTCAAGACAACTGTATAAGTGGAATGTAAACCCCGTTTTATCAAAAGACATGTTAGCTTTAGAATAAAGTAGGATTGTTTCCTCCATTTCATGAAACTGCGACCAAAAAAAAAAAAAAGTTAAGATCAGTGACCAGCTTCTTTGTTCTTTATAGTCTAACTTCTGGTTTATTCACTATACTCACCGGGAGCGCCTTCGGTGTGGGGATCTCGACCGGCTCCTTCTTCGATCTCTTTCCCGAGACCGGGACCTTTCTCGGCGCCTTCGTTCTCTCTCCCGGGAAGTGGACCGGGACCGCCTACGTTCTAATACAAACACACAAAAATTGCAGAGCCAAAAAGTGAATCAAATATCAAGAGCTGAGCCCTCCAACAGAAACATAACGTGAGCCATCGCTAGTAGTCACAGTGAAAAGGTACAAAGAAACAGGTGATATTAATTTTAAGACTTTTTTGACTTAATATGTCCCAGCTATAAACATATTGGCATGTAAGCAATATGAAAGGTACTTAATAATATATTTTATAATTTTTCTGGTAGGAAATCTGGTGTCTATTTTAGGAACTGCATTTCTCAGTTCGGATTAGCTACACTTCAAGAACCCCACAGCCACACGTGGCTTGAGGCCTCAGTTAACTTGTAAGAAAACTGAATACTGTCTAGTTGAAGGTGGCAAAAACTAACCAAGGACACAACCGAGGATCCAAGTTAGAGATCCCAATGGAAGTCTAGTTAGATTCTTTACATTGCACCGCCTCCTTAATAGGTCTGGGGGACAGAAGATATTAATCGGTGAGTTCCCTGGATTCGAAATTCTAAATACCGATTTCCCTATGATAAACTCAGCAGGATCATAAAACTTATGGAGCATCTATGAGCCAAGCAAAATCACATAGTGAATGCYATAGAATGTAACATTTATTCTCACATCAGTTTTCCCCGGGGGTTAACATTACCCCCGATGACTGCGAGAATTCGATTCAGAAAAGCAGGGTGACTTATTGCAGTTTCCTAGAAATTACATGAAGAAACTGTGGCCTGAGCCCATCGGCCACAAGCACAGTAAAAGTTACTGTACTATAAGGTTGACAACAAGTCAATGAAACCCTAATTTAGAAGGGGAAAAAAAAAAACCAAAACTCTAGTCTTCAAACCAGAGGTTCAGAGCGTTAAGAGTGTAGGGGCCTAGGTCTTCGTTCCCCCATTCACCCCCAGCTTTCCTCCTCAGGAGGAAAGGGCCCGCCTCTCCGTTGCCCAGATACTGAAAAAAAAAAAAAGATGCGATTCCAACAGAGCCCCACGCCATCCGCGTTGCTTCCAAACTCACCCCTCCGTGGGGAGCGGCTTCGGCTGCGACCCATTCGGAGTCCAACTCCTCCTCACACCGCCCCGGAAACAGCGGTGCAACAACTTCCGGGAGTGACCGGAACTGAAGTTCGATCTCCGACTGGAAAAATGTCGAAACAAGTCCCGAGGGTTCCGGCKTCTTAAGAAGGCAGGCAGCAAAAAGGGCGGGCCCAGAATGTGCCCCGGATGCCATCGCCTCTTCTGAATTTGGAGATTACCGTAGAAGTGGAGTTGTCATTTCCTCTCCTCCAGCCTAATTTTCACAGTGACTTTCCTATCTTGTTTGTCCCTGGCAGGCATTAAAAATATGCTATTTGATGCACTTATAGAAGTGTTTGAAAAATTCAGCTGTAGACTCACCATCCTAACATAGCTTTCAATTTCACCATTTTCTCCAGTCCTTGTTCACATGCGTAAAATACGTCAAACCAATTCTACACGGAGTATACAAGGTTTGTATTTTTTGACATTTTTACATAAAATTCTCTCATAAGGAGTGAAGACACCAAAGTTCAGCGATTGTCAGTTTAATATTTTCTCAGATGCCAGTATTGAGAACTTATCCCAAAGTTACTACGGGTAAGGAAAAGCAAAGGCTCCATAAGCCCACGTATTCCCACAAAGTACTTCTCCAATGCTGCCATAACTAGAAAAGGGTTGCTGGATGTCGACTTCTAATCTAACCAACACTTGTCCCATCAGCTTCCTCCAAAGTTTCCAAGTCTGATGGTTTGACTTTTAGAACAGAGTTGGAAAGAAACTAGAATAGGTTGGAAACACCCTTCCCACCAGTCAACTTTTTAAAAACTGATTCATACACTCTGATATGCCCTCTTTAATATCTGTGCCAATCTAACTTTCAAGAAAAGAACTAACTGTAACATCTAGGATTTTCACCAAGCATGAGGCCTGACTCAGACTCTTGGGATTATCCTGGCAGACTACACTAATGTCTGGGAGAGAGAGGTTCAAGGATTGAGGGGTGCCAGTACGGGAGGAAGAAGATTTAGGGATGATATGAAGAAACACCATTAATGATTGAAGACATTGTCCCTAGGGAAGACAGGAAATTTATAGGGAGACAAGGGGTTGTGCCGTACAGCTGTGAGAAGAGAAATATGGTAACATCAATGGCTGAAAACATTTCCTTCTTTACTCTTGATTTCAAAAAGTGGTTGGGAGGTATACTGTCAGATTTAATACACAAAGTTTTTTAATGCCTATTGTGTGTAGGACACTGTATCGTTTTAGCACTAGGATGAAAAGATGATGCACAATATGGCCCCCTGCCTCAAGAAGCTTACACTCTAATTGTGGAGGCACAGACATTTTCACAGTAATTGGTAAGATATATATGCAGTGTGCCTGAAGACATAAAAAGGACTTTCAGCTTGATTTGTTATTCCAAGAGTTTCCTGGGATAATAATATTACCTAACACCTATGGGACTAACTGTAGGATAGACACTATTATGAGTTGCCCAGGTAAAGGTAGGAGTAGCAGCAGTATTAAAGAGCAGCTGTTACACTATGCAAGCCCTATGAGTGGTTTAATTTTATCATACTGAATTTATTATGGAAGATCATACTGAGTGGCTGGTACTTTATCCTTATAAAGTGATAAAAAGTTACTGGAGCATTTTAAGCTGAGTAGTTACATAACCAGATTGGTGTTTTAGATGGTTCATTCTGACTGCCAGATCTAAAAACTTGAACCAGGGGAAATAGCTGGAGGAAATGAGAACCCACACTAGGGCGATTATGAAAGAAAAGGAGTAAGAACAGAACAGGAAATATTTGAGGATCAGTATGGCAGGTCTTGGTGACTGGCAGTGGGAAGAGAGAGAAGACATGATTCCCAGGTAGGTTCAGTTTCACAGAATGTGACCTGTACATTGCTTAGAAAGGCCCCACACATTTAATATTCAGCTGTCATCATCTTGAAATAATTTTTGAACAAGAGGCCCTGTATTTTGTTTGCCCTGGAAAAAGAGTGAGTGAGTGTGTGTGTGTGTGTGTGTGTGTGTGTGTGTGTGTATGTTTATTAAGTGAGAAAGCAAGGATTTGACTGTTCCCTACCAACAAACTTGAAACAAGATGGCAAGTCTATATAGAAGACGCATGGAGAAGGCAAAAACAAAACAAAACAACAACAACAACAAAAAATGATGATCCCTTTTATGAGTGCTCCTCTGTCAGGAATAGTATGGGACCTTTTCTGTGGCCCTATATCCCTCATGAATTCAATGGAGCCCTTTTTGCTTATATTTGTTGTGAAGTCTGAGAATCTAGTTACACTTCTGCTTGTGGTAAAGAGAGAACCTGAATTCCATTTTGTTTTATTGAGTATGAACATTCAAAATAGATACTTCTAGCAGGCATTTGACTATATGCAGACTGAGTCTGATATTTAGGGGGAAAGATAAGAAGATAGGAGAATTTGAACCACAGGAGTCCATGAGATGTTCCAAAAAAGAAGAGAGTGACAAGATACAAATGTCAAGTATAAAAACACTAGTGAAGAACAGTGTGTCAAGATTCCAGGGGGTAGAGTTATGAGAAAAAAGAGAAGGGCCAGTATATTAGGCTGAATAACGGCTTCCCTAAAGATGTCTGGCCCTTATCCCTGGACCTATGAATGTTACCTTACATGGGAAAGGTTTTGCAGATGTAGTTAAGAATATTAACTACAGTGAGATCCAAGTGRGTCCTAAATGCTTATATACATGCAGAAAATGTGACCACAGAGGCTAACATGGGAATGATGCAGCCACAAGCCGAGGAATACCTCCAGCCACAAAAAGCTGGAGGAGGCAAGGAACAGATTCTTCTCTAGAAATTCTGGAGGGAGTGCAACTGTGCTGGTGCTTTGGTTTTTGCYGACTGAAATTGATTTTAGATTTTTGGCCTCTAGAATTGTGTGAGAATAATTTTTTTAAGCTAACAAATCTTCGCTAATTTGTTGGAGTAGCTTCAGGAAACTAATACCATTGGCTATGTCAAATGTAGTAGAGACTCCTTTAAAGTAAGAACTGAGAACTCTCAGCTAGATAGAGCAGCATGAGGCCATTGATGAACTTGCAGAAAATTATTTTGGTGGAAAGTAGACAAAAAGATTGTAAAGGATAAAACTTCTTTTCCCACTCCCTAAATCCATACTAGCACTGGAAATCAGGGAAGTTGCCTGATTTCCAAAAAGCCTGAGAAACTTCTCAATTAGAAAAATCATACCTAACACAGTGGCAATTTAACACTGAAAGGGACAGCAGATCTGTTTTCCCAGGAACCTTTAAGCCCCTGAAGAAGTGGGCAGGGGTCAAACCATCCATAGACAGCAGGCAGTGGGACTATTGAGCCACAGCAGGAACCCAGTGTTCGGTACTGTGAGTGGCATTGTGTCAGGGTGCAGCTGACAGGTCTCTGCACACACGAGCATTAGGATTGGAGGGAGAAGCAGATCAGTGTCCCAGGAAACTTCAGGTCATCCAATGGGTACCAGAAGTAGGAAAAATCAGCTGGGACCATGGCAAAAATCCTTCAGATTCATTTTTGAATTTCCCCCATTGGGTTGGTCAACCTCTTCCTAACCAGGATACACTGAAGGGAAGGAAGCTCCATTCTCTGTTCAGGTCGTTGTAACAAAATATCATAAACTGTTGAGACCCCTTGCCCGCAAGGAAGACGCAACTCAGGAATCTTCTTTCAGCAGTTTATTCAGGCCTTTGTTTTGACATGTCTTTTAGCTTGTTTCTCTCTACTACTACTACCACTCCTACTGCTACTCCTACTACTACTCCTACTACTCCTACTACTACTACTACGTGCCCCAGCCTTAATAAAGCAGATAAAGCCCCAATGCACAACTGCCACGTGGACTTTTCTCATAGGGTGCCAAGTCACAGCGTGCCAACTCATTCTGAAAAGGAGTTGTCACAGACTACAGCGGAGCCAGCGCCATCTTGTAATGGCGGCCACAATACACAGAAACGGCTCACCACAATAAACCCAGTGGCTTATAAACAATAGAAACATACTTCTCATAGTTTTAAAGGCTAGGAAATCCAAGATCTATGCTGGAAGATTTGATGGCTGGTGAGGGCATTTTCTTAATAGAAGATGAGTTCTGTATCCTCATGTGATGGGAGGGGATAGCTAGTGTTTGGGGGCCTCTTGTATAAGAGTGCTAATCCTATTCATGAAGGCTCTTCCTCCTAACATAATCACCTCCCAATGGCCCCACCTCCTAACACCATTATATCAGGGATTAGGTTTCAACATATAATTTTGAGGGGACACAAACATTCAGTCTATAGCATACACCTCAATAAACTCACCTCAGTAACTCTGGAGAAGCTAGTGCTGTTGACTGGTTTGGACTGCTAAGGAAACAGAAGATGACTTTCATAGTTCCTGAGGAAACCCAACCTACTATCACCAGTTAATGCAGAGGTTTATTTTTCAACTTTTTTATTTTGAGATAATTATATGTTGAAATTGCAAAGGTAGTGGAGAGAGAGGTCCTGTGTACTTTTCAGCACACAATTACATCTTATGAAACTATAGTACAGTGCCAAACCAGGAAGTTGACATTGGTACCTGTGTGTGTATAGTCTTTATGTCATTTTTCACATGTGTAGATATGTGTAAACACAGTAAAGATGCAGAACTATCACCACACAGAGACATCCCTCATGATAACTCTTTACATTCCACCCTCTGACCCCTGGAAACCACTAACCTTTCTTCTATCTCTATGATTTTTTTTTTCATTTTGAGAATGTTATATAAATGGAATCATGGGGTTTGAGATTTTTTAAAATGGACTTGTTTTCATTCATCATAATGCCCTTAAGATCATCCAGGTTGCTATAGCAATAGACTGTTCATTTTTATTACTGAGTAGTCATCCATAGTGTAGATGTGCCACAATTTAATCATTCATCATTTTAGATTATTTTGCTTGTTTCCAGTTTCTTGGCTATTACAAATAAAGCTGTATGAGCAATTGTGTACAGGTTTTTGCATTGACAAAAATGTTCTTTTATCTAGAATAAATGCCCAGGACCTGACAAGAACAACTCAGAAGAGAAAAACAACTCTATTGCTCTGGGCCCAGTGAAGGAAATCTGCTCAGTTCATGCTGAGGTTAAGAGAGAAAAAGAGACAGACAGACAGACACAAACCCAGAGGGATTTGAGTTTATTTAGAGAACACTTTGGGTAACGCGGAGACTTGTTTACAGAAAAACATAGGAGGCTGGTACAACCATCTTTAACTGTTTTGTGCTACTGTAACAGAAGACCAGAGACTGAGTAATTTAAAGAGAAAATAAATTTCTCACAGTTCTAGAGGCTGGGAATGCCAAATCAAAGTGCTGGCTTTGGGGAGAGCCCACTTGTGTCAGGATATGGCAGAGRGCATCACATGGCAAGACAGTATATACAAGAGAGGGAAGAATGCCTTTCTTGCAATGAACAGTGTCTATTCATGAAGGTTCTGCCCTCATGACCTAATCACCTCTTAAAAGTCACACCTCTCAACATTGTTGCATTGAAGATTAAGTTTCCAACACATAATCATGATAGTTGGAAATTACGTCAGGTAATTTGTCAGGTCCTGTACTAGAATGGCAGCGATGGACAAGGTGAGAAAGTGACTGCATTTGAGATATAACTGAAAGAACTTGATTCTGGATGCAGCATGAGGGAGTTGGAAAAGAATGGCATCTACATTTTTGGCATGCACAACTGTGTATTATTTCTAGAAATGAGGCATATGAGACAAAATCTGGGGAAAGCAGTATGTTCATGCTGGACATGCTAATTTGAGATGCCAAATAACACCCATGAATAGAGGCCAACTAGCTGTATATCTGAAACTTGGAAGAGAGATCTAGGCTGGAACTATAGAAAAAGGAATCCTCAGAATACAGATGAAGCTGTGAGAGTGCATGAAACCACCTATTGCAGGCTCAGGAAAGAAAAGGATCTGGAGATAGCCAGAGAAGAAACCCCCAAAGAGACTAAGGAAAGATCAGAGAAATAGAAATCAGGTGTGATGTCAAGAGAAGTTCAAGACGAGGTTATTTTTAAAGAAATAAATGGTCAATTTTAAATGTTAGGTTAAAAGAATCAAAACCATACAGCTTGGGCTGGGGCCATAGCTCAGCAGTAGAGTGCTTGCCTAGCACGCAGGAGACCTGGAGTTGATCCCTACCACCTTGTACAAAAAAAAAAAGAAAGAGGGGCTGGGGATGTGGCTCAAGTGGTAGCGTGCTCGCCTGGCATGTGTGAGGCCCGGGTTCGATCCTCAGCACCACATACAAAGATGTTGTGTCTGCCGAAAACTAAAAAATAAATATTAAAAAATTCTCTCTCCTCTATCTTTAAAAAAAAAAGAAAGAAAAAAGAAATAAAACAGATATAACTTATAGCATTTAACTGACCTGGAGAATTTAATTTTAACTCAAGTAGTTAAGTTGTTCTGACTTTGCTGGACCTAGTCCTGTTTCATATGAATTACCAGGAAGCRTGCTGTTGAGTCAGCAAGCACTGCCTCCCCATTAATGTAAAGTCTGATCACGAATTACAATGACTGATGCTCTTTGAGGCTTTTCGCACTTTGCACTCCTGTAGTTTGGTAAGAATTAAAAACTCTCAGGTTGGGGAAAGAACTTTAATGTGTGTGTGTGTGGTTTTTTTTAAACCACTGAGCCATATCCCCAGTCCTTTTTGAAGTGGGGACTAACTTGTGCAGGTTGGCCTTAAACCTGCAATCCTACCTCAGCTTTTTGAGTTGCTGGGATTATAGGCATGCACCACAGTGCCCACCAGCCTATACCATATTTTTCCTCCTGTTTTTTTCTTTTTCTTTCTTTCTTTCCGTGTATGTGTGTGTGTGTGTGTGTGTGTGTGAGAGAGAGAGAGAGAGAGAGAGAGAGAGAGAGAGAGAGAGAGATAGATAGCTAGATAGTTATATGCTGGGGACTGCACCCAGGGATTCATGTGGTCAAGTGCTTAGACCACAATACTCCAACGTTTCCTTTCAGGTGACTGATAAGTCATCTATGCTTATTATTTGCACCTCTGGCTCTATTACTTTTTCTGTTCTTTACATGGGTTCATCAATAAGGTAATGTAACTTTAAACAGTTCCATCACTAATAGTTCAATATATTCTAAACCAACTATCAGAACTTTCTGCAATGATGGGAATATTCTGTATCTGAATCCCCTGTCCAATATGGCAGCCACCAGCTATATGTGGCTACTAAGCTCTTCCAATGTGGGTAGTGTGACTGATTGAGTCAATTTAATTCTTAAMTAAATTTTAATGGCATACTTTTGCATTTGATAATGAAAAGTGTTTATTATTAAGTTAATCCTGTTGAATGTCTTAGAGATAGAACAGTACCCGCTAAATATTTGGTTTAAAAAAAGCTAGTAACTCACTACTGTTTTGCATTTAATTTTGCCTATCTTGCTAAATTTCAATCCAAATCTATAAGAAAAAAATTAAAAAGGAAAAGGAAAAGAAAAAGGTACATTCATATCTTTTTAATAATTTAACATGAACATATTCTCTTAAAGATCTCTTCTTTACTGATAGACAAGCAAAAATAATTATTTAATGAATAAATACTGTTATCCGGCAATAGCAGTAAAAAAAACCAACCAAACAACAACAACAACAAAAAACTGGTAGAGGCAAGAGCTGACAAATACAAAAGCTTATATACAATAATTTATATGCTACTTCAGCTGATACTACCACTTTATTGAAAATATTCCTATTTAGGAACACTATACAAACAGTTAAGTGGTAAGAAAATAAAAAGCAGATTCCTTACTTTTAATTAGCTTGCAATTACCAGTTTCTCAAATGAGAATATAAACTACTTGTGATGGAAGAAATAATTATCCTGTCTATGGATGACATAAGCAACTTGACTAGAAAAGAACCAATGAACAGGAATCAGATATAATTCCAATTTGGCCAGTTCATTTTTATAAGTGAAATGAAATAGTCAATTTTCCTCATTAATATACTCAGTTTATCTTTACTTCCAAGATTCATAAAAATTTATTCAAATAATCCAACGAAGTCTAGCATTATGTTTTTTAATGTGTAAAGGATAATGAATCTCTTATGCTGTGATAAAGAAAAACTAGTACCTCATGAAAAAAGATGTAATTAAAGCCAAACATAAAATTAAAAAATGTAGCTTCTTGATATAGCTAAATCACTGTATTAGAAACATGTACATTACAGTTCTAAGAATGGAGCAGGAGGCATTTAAAAGGTTCCTTATGTTAACCAAATGGACAAATTCTCAAAGGATGAAAACAACTTATGAACCTGTCAACATATTGCTGGGAAAAACTAATAAATTTAAAACATAAAAGTAGTAGGCAAAAATATCTGACTAGAAAGCGAAAAAAAAATTCCAGGTTTAATTAAGTTTTTTGTCCACTTTAAATAAGAGCTTATTTATTAACTTTTTTTCAAATGGGCATTTTTTATTTGCACAGATACATAAAAGTGATTCCCATTTTAAAAAACATACTAAAAACATACATTAACCACAAAAGTACTTGCTTTGAAAGGAAAACGAGCATGGCTATTTTCAAAATAACAACAAATACAAGAAGCCAACTTATGTAAATCATGACAAGTGTACATCTCGTTTTTGACAAAAATAAGTTCCATTTTTACATTAATGCTTTATTATCAGCTTTTATATTAGATCCTCCAACCTTATGTACATTTACTATGAAATTTCTATCAGTATGTATAACTCAAAGGCACTCAATTCAGAGATTACAAAGTCCTGAGCTTAAGTATGGAACAGGATTCCCAACTAAAATTTGAACATAAATAATTCTCAAGATCAGAGAACATGAAAATGTTTAAAACTGTAATATTTGATACATAAATAATTCATAACCTAATAATAAGAGTATACAGAATGTCAAAGATAAGACCATGTAAGGCAAAGGAATATTCTCAGAATCAAACTGATTTTTCCCTCATTCAAGTTCATTTGAAGGTCTAAAGCTGACTTTTGTTACTGTTGAAATCCCAGGAAAACTAAATGAGGAAAAAAAAAAAAAAGCATGAAAATACTTAAGTTTTTAAAAAAGTTCCTCAGCTTAGTCTCCCCCAAACCATGAAAAACATATTTAATGATTAAAAACAACTGTAGACTGTAGATTGGAATGATATTAAACTAAATGGGGGAATTAAAATGAGTAGTTGAAAAAAATCAAAGGACAGCTTTAAAGGCACGAATTGAAATAGCATTTGTAATTGGCTGTTCAAATTATTCCTTTAGCATTCTTTTAGCAAAATAAAAATAAATTTACAGATGGATGAGGTTCACTTAACATTAGGCAGGATCAAATTTTAATAAAAATTAAATCTATATTTTGTTGCAAAGAAATGTAAAATTTACCTACAGCAATTTTCTACTAATGCTAAATTAAAAGCATGGGTTGACATCTTTATAATGCATGGTTTGGGATGTTTTCTTGGCTTTAAAATGCGTTTTCATATATGCATAGAAATGTGACAAATGTAAGAACTATCTTCTGAATTATCTGTACAGTTCATAAGGCCTTTGTTAATATTAGTCACCTTAGATGTGAATATCAGTAAGGCCATTAAATTAAAGCTGGCCTAAAAAGTTTTCAAAGTGCTACTSTTTCCGACTGATGAGGATCCTCAGTTTTCTGGATTTTCTGGGTGACGATTGTTTTCAGTTCTTTTTTCTGGTGATATATACAAGAAGTTACAGCATATATATAAAGGGAAGATCAGAAGCCTGCTGTCCAAGTTCATCACCACTTGTTCCTATAAGACAGATTTGTATGTTTAATGACAACTGAATAGCAATATTTAAAAAGCCAAATTAACTAAAAAACCAAGCTACTGAATTGAGTGAAACAAAAGAGGTAACATGGAATTAAGAGTTTGTGCCTGGAGACCAAGAACCACAGCTCAAATCTCAAAAACTCTTGCCCACTAAATGTGTGACCCTGTCAACTGCAGCTTCCTTGCTATAAAATGGGGACAAGAAGAATATCCATTTTACAGGATTATACTGGGGATCAAATGAGACAATGTACAGAAGGTTTTGTAAAGCAGCTATATATTAAATAATAGTGGTAGTTATTTTCATTATTGCAAAAATTTCTGTCAAGTTCATATATACTTTATGGAAGAATTGGTGAACTGGTAAAGTGAACCTCTTACTTGGCTTCAGGTGGGGAAGTCATAATTATCATCATCAAGCAGGGTTTCTGCTCCCATTTAAAAGTTCCCACTGTCCCAATGACAAACATGTTACTTGTCTCCTGGCACATAAAACATTATCATGTAAAAGCAATTTCAGGTTCAATTATATCAATAAACACGGGAATGCTATGAACTCTCTCCAAAGACTGAAGCTAATTCTATACCCAAGAATGTCAAATATAACCATTATTGATGTTACAGATCTTTTTGGAATCGAACATATGCTTTAGCAGCAACATTTAGCAAACAAAACAAATCCTGAGTAAAAGAAGCAACACTGAGGGGCTGGGGTTGTGACTCAGTGGAACATTGCCTAGCATGTGTGAGGCACTAGGTTTGATCCTCATGGTGTTATGTAAAAATAAATAAATAAATATATTGTGTCCATCTGCAAATTAAAAAAAAAAAAAAAGCAGCAGCAGCAATAGTGAAATGAGAATTCCTACTTTTAATCTAGAATTTTACATTTTTTACTGAAGCAATGAAAATGAACTAAAAATAGAATATTGATTGACTCTAGTAGGCTTAATTGAACACAGATTCTGTGTTGGGGGAGTAGCAAGATAACTGGATAAAGATAGGGAATACAAACATACTCCAAGCACACGCTTGCGTGCACGTGCACGTGCACACACACACACACACACACACACACACACACACACACACACATACACAATCTCTGTACCCTTCAAAGCGGGAGAGTAGTATTAAAAAAAGAAAAATATTTTAAAAATAACAGTATTAGTATTAAAAAAAGACAATATTGAGACACCCCCCACCTTGCTGACTGTGCTAACAGTGTCACCAGAGAGGAATGATGTCAAAGCATAGTTGATCTTTAGATGCTCAAGTCACTTGGTCCTAGTCAAAATTTGTATCAGTAACTTGGGTGAAGGACAAATGCTTTGGTGGTATGACAATAATAACCAAGATTCTGTACCATGACAAAGCAACAGCTCTAAGATCAGAAGTCTGGGTTTTGAGTATCTGTAGGGCTGGGGTTGGGTGGGGCAGGCAAAAAGGGCTAATTCTGGGAGAAGAAGGAAGCGAATATGGACATCAGTTGGAGCCTATAAGGGCACACCCATTTCTGAATATTAAATTACATTCATCCCCATTCTCTATCCTCAAGATGAATCTTGTTCTAGCTTTATCAAATCTTTAACTCCACCTACAGGTTCAGTGTAGACCTACATCTGCATTGAAGCACATTTAAAGTTATATGTCATTTTCCTTGTTCCACTGTGGAAATGGAAGCCGGGGAGCCCATTGATTTACAGCAGCAGACTTCTTCCTAGGTTCTCAATTCTACGTTCATATGATTATTTCTTCATCTACATGTATAAATTTGTCTGCTTCTCAGAGCCTCATGCTACCTATTCTACACTTATTGCTTCCCCCATATCCTGTCTTATCTGTTTATAAATTCTAGGATCCATAAATCCAACTTGCTACTGTAAGGTTTTCACAGAGTTATAGAGCAAGTCAAATTGAAACAGTTGACTACTGGCTGTTATCTATTTCTTCCTTTCTGGGTAATCTATGCCTTCACTCTTATAGCTTGGCTTTGACTCCCCATCTTAGCTCTCAAATGTCTCATTTGGTTAGTTTTTTTTGGCCCACTAAATACCAGTTGCTCCTATCTGGGTATCCATCTTGTTGTATTCTCTTAATTCCTATGAGTTATCTCTTCCAGTCATTATTACTAGCCCAGGCATTATTTGTAAACTCCAGGCCCATTTACCTACCAATCTATCAAATTTTCACATTGATGCTCTCAAATGTGCCCTAAATTGAATTCACCACCTCTCTCTTTACCATCATCAACACTTTAAGTAATATTTAATCTTCCTTCCTATAATTCAAAGTTCAGAGAAAAACCACTACTATAAATTGAGTTGCCCAAGTCAGAAAATCAGGAGACATCTTTCACCACTTTTTCTCATCTACACACAGTTAAACACTGAATTCTGTCAAATGCACTTTATTTCTATAACTTATCTACATTTCTTCATCTCCACTCTTAAGTTAAGGTTCTCATCATTTTTTATCTGGATCATAGCAACATAATCATTTTCTGTCATCATCATGTCTCTGATCATTCTTAAACATTCCTGAGAGAACCTTCTATAATGCAAATTAACATTCTTGTGAAACAGTTATAAAATAATTTTACAAAAACCACTAGCTTTCACATGTTATCAAAAATTATTAGAAGAGATTCATGTTGCATTAGCATATATAAAATATTTATTAGCATTATAGTTTCTGGAAGTATACAGGAACCATGTGAAAACTAAATTCTAGAGAGAGATATAAGGAAGATCTTAGTTTATGTGAGAATATCATATGCCAGAGGGATAATATCAGTTTCCCACAAACTATTCTATATATACAGAAAACAAAATCCCAACATGAAATTTGACAAAATGATTTTACCTCTGATTCAGGAGAATAATAATATACAAAGAATTCAGGGATTTTTGTTTTTGTTTTGTTTTGCAATACTAAGGATTGAACCCAGGGTGTTTTATAAAATGGGGACAAGAAGAGTACTACATCCCTGGTCTTGCTAAGTTGTTGAAACCTGCCTTGAACTTGTGATCCTCCTGCCCCAGCCTCTCAAGTTACTGGGATGACAAGCATGTGCCACTATGCCCAGGCTTCCAGGGATTATTGGGGGAAAAAAAAAAAAGAATGAAAGTGTTTTTTATTAGGTATTAAAATGTGCTTTAAATTTAACCTAATTAAAACATTGCAATGTTGCTTTTATAATAAAGAAATCAATAAAAYGCTTCTAAAATAAAAGTAAGTTTATAGGGATATATATGCTATGGCTTGATTGATACACCTGGTACATTTCAGAGATATCATCAAACACTCTAATGTAAATCAGAAAAGGAGTAGGAAAAAAATACAGATGTCCATGTATGCCTAAGAAGAATGAGGAGGCCTAAGGATCACACTAAAAGAAGTCATTAAAGGAAAAGATTAATAAATCATCTTAAAGACTGAAAAGATAAATGACAAAAATGAAAAAGTCAACCTATCACAAATGGTATTCTTCACCTATATGAGCTGTTAAAAATTAGCATGAAAAATGAACATCTTAATAAAAGATTAAAAAAACAATATAAACTGTCATCTTACACAAGATGGTAGTCAAAAAACATACAAAACACAACTATACCAGTAACAAGCAAAGAAATAAAAATCCAACCTAATATAATTTGTTTTCACTTAATTTATTAGGGAAAAGATTAAAAAATTATAATACACTATACTGGGTATACTCTAAGTGTATATGGACAATATTTTTGGAGTGCAATTTTGGCCATTAGAAAATGTATATATGCACAATTTGATATGAATTCTACTTCTTGAAATTTATCTTTAAAATTTCAGAAATGTTCAAAGATAGAGGTACATTTCTTTTTCTCCCAAGTCACTGGGATTAAAGATATACATCACTGTGCTTGGCAAAGATACGTGTATCTCTTAATAAGAAAAAAGAGAACAACTTTATCCAATAAGGAGAAATTACTTAAACTAAGGAACAGCCAAAACATCTAATATGCAGTTAATAAAAATAATGTTGTAATTATACATTTATCAGTAAGAAAAGCTATGTATAACAAATTAAAAAGAAAAAAAGTTATCAATTACTATCTCATTATCTGATGCACACAGGTTCTCCCAGCCTTGGGTTCCAAAAGAGGACTCATTCTTTCTACTAGGCCCAGGTTAGGTGAGCCCATTTTGTTTCTTCCCAAGATTTAACCACTAAGTCATCATGAAATTCCCGATACTGAATGTAGGCTATGTAGAAGACAGAAGACAACACATATTATTCACTGTGGATGTCAAGGTTGCAAGAACCAGATCAAACAAAGAAGCTCTGTGACACTGACCTGGCTAAGGTCAATACCCTGCTCAGACCTGATGGTGAGAAGAAGGCATGTTTGACTGGCTCCTGACTGTGATGTCTGAGATATTGCTAACAAAATTGGGGTCATCTAAATAAAGTCCCAGCCAGTTCATTCTATATATATATATTTTCACCATCAAAGCAGGTTAGCTGGGTATGTGGCACATGCCTATAATCTCAGCCACTCAGGAGGCTGAGGCAGGAGGATCAAGAGTTCAAAGCCAGCCTCAGCAAAAGTGAGGTGCTAATAAGCAACTCAGTGAGACCCTGTCTCTAAATAAAATATCAAAAAGGGCTGGGGATGTGGCTCAGTGGTTTAGTGCCCCTGGATTCCCACCCCAGTACCAAATAAATAAATAAAATAAAAATTTTTAAAAAGTAGGTTATAAAATAGCGAATAGATCCTATTTTGAAATAACAATGTCAGCCATGATGCACATATGACTTTTATTTCTGCTTATTTATGCTATTTTTCCTACAACAAACATCTATGCTATTAAAACATACATATGGAGCTGGGGTTATGGCTCTTACTAGAATATGTGAGGCACTCGGTTCAATTCTCAGCACCACATATAAATAAATAAAGTTATATCAATAAGTAAAAGAAATACTTTAAAAACCCACATATATACAACTCCCTAATTAAAATCCTTCCCAACTCCATCTATAGTCCATCATGTGTTGGCTCTCTTTGTATTGAACTCTTCCAACCCTCTTTGAGTTCTATGAATAAATCATGTGTACCCTTCCTCTATCTCACTCATTTGAGGTATCCATTTACTTTTCAACTTTTCCAGAAAAATATATTTTTTTTCCTGAGCTGTCTTCCTTTCTCTCCCTTTAATAACCATACCTACCCTCAACCTCATACCTACCCTCAGTATGGGCTAAAGATTTCTCCCTCAATGTTACATGCTATTCTGAGCTCATCCTATCATCCATCCCATTTATACCAGTCTACATTAGCACAGGCTCTTCCTGTTTATTTCCTTCACTATTGCGTAGAACCTAGTACAAGGTAGGGACACAATGTTTGCTGAATGAACAAATATCTTGGTTTGGTATTTTTACTTTTCTGATTGCTTTAAGTCATCACTATTTATCTATCTATGTATCTATTTAAATAATTTTTTATTTATGACTTAAGTTCCAGGTAAAGGGCAGTCATTGTCCTTTCAGTTTCAGAGGTTTTGGAAGGACCAATAGAGAATTTTCAATGGAGAAAGATTTTAATTTTCTCATTATGTATTGCCTTGAAATGGTCATTTTCATATACTACCTACCTCATCTCTGTCACTAAAGTTTCAACAATGGTTGAAGAACCTTCTATATATAAATGCCATTTAGAAATTCTCATCCATGACATGTGAGGTTACTTCTAAGGTTCCTCGCAATGCTAAGAGGATTCCAGGATGGTCTTTTTGGTCTAAGGAAAACTGCTATCTTCTCAGAATTTATGTGAACTATCCAGGCTGTAAATCCTTTCATTACACCCTTTGAAATGTTCATTAGGTTTTGTTGTTGTTTTTGTGGGGCGGGGATTGAACCCAGGGGTGCTCTACTAGTGAGCTACCTCCTCAGCCCCCCTTTTAAAAAATATTTTTATTTTTTAGTTGTAGTTGGACACATACCTTTATTTTATTTATTTATTTTCATCTGGTGCTGAGGATTGAGCCCAGGGCCTCAAACGTGCTAGGCAAGCACTCTACAGCTGAGCCACAACTCCAGCCCCAGCCTGTTTTATTTTTTTATTTTGAGGTAAGGTCTTGAACCCAGCACTTCGCACGTGCTAGGCGAGCACTCTAYCACTGAGCCACAACCCCAGCCCCCTGATTAGTTTTTAATAGAAATAAACTTTCTCAATATTTTAACACTCTAATTTTACTATCTGAAAATAGTTTACCTTGTTATAATATTTTGAAACATCTGCGTACACATGATGTATGAAAAAACAAATGAACTTAGAATTAATTTGGAGAATGTTACAGATATCTGTTATAAAATTAATGTGCTAGAGAAAAATGTTCTTTTAATGTTCAGGAGCTATGGAGACACACTGGATTATTTTTAAGATGTCTACCATTAATGTACAAATAAATACACTTAGATATACAGTGTACCAAGTTCATAACTTTTTGAAGATATTCAAGATAAACAATCATTTCCTTATTATCAGCTTCCCCTGCCTCTCAAGTCAAATTGTGTTTTGTACTTTCATTTTTGTTGGCCCAGTTATGCTTCTATAGATACAATATCCCTTATTTGAAAGGCCTGAGACCAGGAAATGTTTCAGATATTAGAAAATCTGCATATAAATAATGAATTATCTTGGGGATGGGACCTAAGTCTAAACACAAATTCAATGTTTCATATGTAACATACACACACAGACTCAAGGTACTTTTGTAAAATATATATATATATTTTTTTTTTAAAGAGAGAGAGACAGGAAAGAGAGAGAGAGAATATGAATGAATTTATTTTTATTTTTTAGTTCTCGGCGGGCACAACATCTTTGTTTGTGTATGTGGTGCTGAGGATTGAACCCAGGCCGCAYGCATGCCAGGCGAGCGCACTACCACTTGAGCCACATCCCCAGCCCATTATAAAATATTTTTAATGATTTTGTGAATATAAGTATTTTGCTGTCAGACACGTGTGGCACTCAACAAATTTCAGATTTCAGAAAACCTTTGTGGATTAAAGGTTTCTGGATTAAGGATACTCAATCTGTAGTGGGATCAGCTAAATGCAGAAGTGAATGTAGCACTTTCATCTTTACTTAAAAAAAAAAAACAAACAAACTTTCAAACCAATCTTTAAATCAAATATCGCTTTAATGTCAATTCTATTCTCAAAAGAGGATTCAAAACATGAATATTATAATGATAACAGAAAAGTAATCAAACATACCTGATCCTTTTCAAGTGTAAGTATTTGATAGCCAGTTGTTCTACTGCATATTAATTTTCCACTACTGTCAAAAGAAGCCAAACGTAACCTGCAATTAAAACAAAAAATAAACAAACAGGAGATATTTTAAACACAGATTAATTTAAGCAAACCTCCCTCACTTTTATCTTTTCCATATTCTGTTTTTTATTTTATAAGAGACTTCAAAGTCTTTTCAGACTATAAACTGATTCCATTTGGATTTATAAACCTATGCTGTATACATATGTGAAATATAATTTGAAAATGACTTTTCAAAAATCTTTTTTTGGGGAGGGAGAGGTCAGAGGATATAAATGACTTTTTATTATAGTAAAGTACACATGATTTAAATTGTTCATTTAAATCATTTTTATGCAGCCCTGTGGCATTAAATACACTGATAATGCTCTGCAACTATCATTATGACCCATCTCTGAAACATTTTCTTCTTCTCCAGCTGAAACTCTGTACCCATTAAACACTTACTATTTCCCCTTCCCAGCCCTGGCAACCATATTTAATCTGTATGAATTTTCTTTTTTGTCAACATATTTTATGTGTACCCCCTCATATTTTTTCTTGGTGTACTAGAATTATGGGACTCACTATTATACATTCATATATGCACATTATATAATAATACAATTGGTCAATATTATTTCTTAGAATTTCCTCTTTCCTTCTCCTCCTCCCTGGTCCCTTTCTACTGGTCACCCTTCTATTTTCATGAGATTCCCCTTCTGTCTCTATGAATTTGTCCTCTTAAAGAACCTCATATGAGTGGTCATACAATATTTGTCTTTTAGTGACATGCTTATTTCACTTATTATTATGTCTCTGAGGTTTGTTCAAGTTTAGCATGTGTTAGAATTTCCTTCCTTTTAAATACTGAATAATGTTTATTATATATATGTTACCACGTTTTAGCCATAATCTGTCAATGAACACATGGGTTGCTCCTAACCTTGGGCTACTATGAATAAAGCTGCTATGAACATGAGTATACAAGTATCTGTTCAAGGCTCTAATTTCAATTCTTTTGGGTATACAGGCAAAAAAGGAACTGCTGGATCATACAGTAATTCTGTGTTTAAATTCTTTGAAAGCATCATAACATTTTCTTTCCTTTTTTATAGGGGGGTGAGGGAGGAGAGCATGGGATTAAACCCAGGGCTTTGCACATGCTAGGCAAGCACTCCACCACTGGGCAACATCCATAGTACACAGGATTCCAATTATTCTATATTGTTGTCAACACTTATTTTGTTTTGAATAATAGCCCTCCCTAGGGTGAAGTAACATCTCACTGTGGATTTGATTTGAATTTCCCTTAGCATTTTTAACATGAGCTCATTAGCTGCTTGTTTATCACGTTGGAGAAATTTTATACAAGTCCCCCCCTTTTTTTTTACAATATTTTTTTTTCATCAGTGGACCTTTATTTATTTATATGGATTGCTGAGAATTGAATCTAGTGCCTCACACATGCTAGGTAAATGCTCAACTACAGTGCTATGATCCCTGCCTACAAGTCCTGGGGATTGAACTCAGGGCCTGATACATGCTAGGCAAGCCCTCTACCACTGCCTTTGCTCTGTTTTTTTGGTACCAGGGGATTGAACTCAGGGACACTGAACCACTGAGTAACATCCCCGGCCCTTTTTATATTTTATTTAGAGATAGGGGCTCACTGAGTTGCTTAGGGCCTCGCTAAGTTGCAGCAGCTGGTTTTGAACTCATGATCCTCCTACTTCAGCCTCCTGAGCCACTGGGATTACAGGTGTGTGCCCAGTTCCTTTCCTCATTTTTCAATTGTTTTTTTTTTTTAATCATGTACATATAGAAATTGTTCTATATGCATTCTGATTAACTCCTATCAGATATATAGTTTACAGGTATCTTCTCCCATTCCAATGCTGATAGTGTGCTTTGATGCACAAAAGTCCTCAGTTTTGATGAGGTCTAATTTATCTATTTTTCTTTTGTTGCCCATCCTTTGGATGACTTATCAAAGAAACCACTGCCTAATCAAATGTTGTAAAGATTTTACCCTGTTTTTTTCTTCTGAGGCCAGGTCCTTGTGATAGCCAGTGCTCTACCACTGAGCTACTTCTTTGGCCCCAGTTTTAACTCTTATTACCAAATAAATGTGATCCACCTTGAGGTGATCTTTATATATAGTATAATATAAGTATAAATATATGATTTAAAAACAATCTGCTCGCTGGGCACATGTGCCCAGCAACTCAGAAGGCTGAGGCAGGAGGAACCCAAGTTGAAGGCCAGTCTTAGCAACTTAGTGAGATGGTCAGCAACTTAGTGAGACGATCAGCAACTTAGTGATAAGATCTTGTCTCAAAATAAAAAAATAAAATGGTCTGTGGATGTAGCTCAATGGTGAAGTGCCCACTAGGTTTAATCTCTAATTCCAAAATAAATAATTAATATGGAAATAATCTGTTCATTAACTATTTCCCCATTTGTTAGCCTATAGCATACTCTCCAGTAAAAGGCTGCCAGTTCATCTGTCAGGCAAATCTGGATATATCAAATCTTGTAGAAAGTTACGGATAATACAAGACATATTGGTAGAAAAGCACCTTGCCATATTTCTAGTTTGGATATTTTATTTACTAGCCATAGCAACAAAGCTTCAAACTCAGTTATCAGTCCTCTATCATTCATATTCCAGCCTATTCATTCTAATATACTAGCTCTTTTGATTTTGATTATTAATAATATATTTCATAGGAATGGAGTCTTACCAGTTCCTAACACTTTTGCATATTCTGTATCTTACTAAATTGGTATAAATTATCAAGGTTTTATTTTATTTCTTCTATTTCCTGTGTCGTGAGGAGAGTGGAGTAGGTAAATCTCATCCTACCTAAATGCTATGCTCCTTCGAGGTTGTAAACTGACAGATCCGCTACATGGCTGATTCAGTGTATTGCGTTTGAAAATGATGTACCGATTGGTGTAAGTTACAAGTAGGTCAAAGCCGAAGTTAAAACCTGTCCATCGCCAGCAGTACTAAAGACACAAAAGAGAGATTTATTTCAGTTAATCACATTAGCAAGTAAAAAATAAAAAGTTCAAAGTTACTTTTTTTCCCTCCTAACTCCAGGTATTTCCCTCATGGAAAGCACTTTTGTCAGTGCTTTTCTCTTAAGGCYTTCCAGAGAACCATATACCTAGTCAGAAAAGCAACTTTTATGACCATAATTCCTTAAGCTGCTTTCCTACTATGGCCTCTTCATGCTCTCCATACTGCAATTCTATCATAAATAATAAGGTTTTCACTATAATTCTAAGTAATATTGCTTACATACTGGGAGTCCAGATGGAGGCAAAAACCCATTAAAATCTACTTTACTTTAAAAACACTCTAATACCTCAAGTAATTAATCAAACAGACACATGATTGGGTTATTCTCAATACCATCATAGGGTTGTAAGTTTGCTTATTCTACCAGCTAATTGTTAATAAGAGAGGTAAGGTACCACGGGATAGGGAAATAAAGTTAGGGCTTCAAGGGTTTGATGGGCACCCTGAATTAAAACATTAATTCAATATTTAGCCAACACACTGAGTACATATACCAGACACTGCTTTAGGCAGTGGAGACATAGCAGTAAATAAAGTTTCTGCCCTAGTAGAACTTATATTCCACTATGTGAATATGTTTGTGTGGTAGAATGGAAGATGTACAATTCAYATGCTCTAGAAGAGAAGAGAAGGTCAGAAGAGTCACAGGGTAGAGGAGGGGGCTTGCAGTTGAGAAGCCTGCCTGCCAATTTATACAAGTACACAGGAAAATCTCTCTGAGGAGGATAGGTGAAGGATCAGATCAGGTAGCTATCTGGGGAAAGAGTGTAACAGCAAGTATAAAGCTCTAAGGGTAAAAATATGCTTGGCGTATGTGAGGATCAGCAAGACAGGCTATATGGATGGGGCAGTGACTGACAGTGTTAGAAACTGGAAATGAATTCATAGAGGAATTTGAGGGCCAGAAAAGATAGGGTCTAATGGTCTATGGTAAGAAAGAGCTTAGATTTCCTCTAATTGTGGTGGGAGGTGAATGGAGGCTATTTAGGGAAGGGAGTGACATAATCTAACTTACATTTTAAAAAGATCACTTGGTTGAATGTAAAGGAGGCAAGAGTAAAACAGCACTAATGAGGCCACTCCAACAGCCCAGGCAAGAGAGAATGGTGATGTGGACTTGAGTGATAGTGGTAGACATGCTAAGAATRTATTTAAGGCATAAATCCTTGAAAATTTCTTATGGAAAACGAGAGTGGTATGAAAGAAAGAGGAATCCAAAATGAATCCAAAGTTTGGAGCCTATGCAATGGCCTAATGGAGGGGCCATCTACAGGCTGCAGAATATATGGGAAGGAGGTGGTTTATGGAAGACAGAAGCTCTGCTTGGGATTGTTATATTAGAGATCTACTAGGTATTTGAAGAAGATGCTATTTGAGTAGCTGGATATATGAATTTAGAGGTAGGAGTCATCAGGGTACAGATAGGCTGTGACATCATGAGATTCTATGAGATCAATTATGAGGAGCACAGGTAGGGAGAAGTTCAAGGACTTGAGCCTCTAGTTAAAGCAACATTTGTTGAATAAGAGAAGGATTTAGCAAAGACTAGAAGGAGCAGCCAATGAAGTAGGAAGAAAACCAGCAGAGTATGCTGTCCTAGAAGTCGAGAAAATCTTTCAATAAGGAGTGAGTGAACAAAACAGTCAATATTGCCAAGAGTTTTCAGAAGAAAACTGACTTTGATTACTTGAACTACTCGATTTGGCAATGTGGGATCACTGCTGATTCTGGCATGACAGTTTCAGTGAAGTTGTGCTGCGGAGTAGATTCAAGAAGGCATCAGAAAAGAAATATAGTGAACAAATACAGGCAACTTTTTTCAATGAGTTTTGCCTAAAAGGGAGAGAAAAGAAATGGAGTGGTAGCTAGAGGAGAATGTGGAGTCAAAATATTGTTTAAGATGGGTGGTAATRCAGGATGATGTTATATGCTAAATGTGAATAAGCCAACAGAAGAGAAAAACTGATTATGCAGGAAAAGGCAGTTATTACTGTAGGAACAAAATTTTTGAACAGAGGAGAAGGGATGGGATTCAGTAGGAGGACAGGGGATGCACTAGGACAGAAGCAGACAGTTCAGCCATTCTCTGAAGAAAAAAAGCACAGTGCACAGCTACAAATTGGTGGAACTGTTGGTAAGAGGATGTACAGATTCTCTTCCTATTGTAGTAAGAAGCAAGACCACTGGATAAAAATAAGGGGAGTAGTACTGGATAAAAGACAGTAAGAACAATGTATTGTATGTCCTACTGCAGTTAAAAAATTGCTGGAGTCCAGGTACTTGAGGGAGAGAGCTAGAAAGATAAGAGGAAGYGAAGCCTGAAAAGGGATGCTTGAAATAAGAGATTTTGAAGGTGGTAGTTAGTTGATTAAAAAAAAAAAAAACTTAGGATGTCCTCATGGTAGGGTGAAACACAAGATCACTGGGGGAAGATAAGGGAACAGACATACTGAAAACACCAAGACTGGTAATAAAAGTAGTGACAAGTAATGACAGTGAGCCTATGAATGATGGCCACAATAAGGGTCTTAGGTAGTGTAATAGAAGAATTTGCTTCAAAGGARCTGTAGTCCAATGAAGGACAGAGGAGGAACAAAATCTGAAAGCAGCAACAAAGAAGAACAAGAATAAATAAGACAACTGTTCCTCTTGCACACTCAGAACATTTATCACAATTGTGAATACAAACATAATTAACTTTAAAAATTAAAGTTAAGCTTGATGTGGTGGCACATGCCTATAATTCCAGCTACTCAGTAATGAGGCAGGAGGATCATGGTTTGAGGCTAGCCTGAGCAATTTAGAAAGACCCTGTGTCTCAGAATAAAATGAACAAACAAAACAAAGGGCTGGGGATGTAGCTCAGTGGTAGAGAGCTTGCCTAGCATGATTGAGGCCCAGGGTTTAATCCCTAGTATTGAGAAGGAAAAAAAAAAAAATGAGGGTAAATGTGGAAGAAAAGGGATCAAAAGGGTATACAAATTAGGCTAAAATTTCTGTTAAAATGAAAATCATGATTAGGCTTTAAAATCAATTTAATAAATGACAATCAGCTTTTAAAAAATTAAATAGAAAATAAGTTTGTTGGACACAGCAAAGGTAAGTATTATTTTAAATATTTATAAATATGCATATACACATACATCATGGTAAGATAAAAGGTAATTTGGGGGGGGGGGGATTCTGAGGATTGAACTCAAGGGCACTTGACACTGAGCCACATCCCCAGCCCTATTTTGTATTTTATTTAGAGACATAGTCTCACTGAATTGCTTAGAATCTCACTTTTGCTGAGACTGGCTGTGAACTCAGGATCCTCCTGCCTCAGCCTCCTGAGCTGCTAGGCTTACAGCTATGTGCCACTGCAAAAAGATAATTTTTAAAATACATTTACACAATAAAATACACAATACAATTATTTCATTCATTTATTTATTTTTATGGGGTGCTGAGGATCAAACCCAGTGCCTCACATGTGCTAGGCAAGCACTCTACCACTGAGCTATAACCCCAGCCTCAAAAAAGGTGATTCTTAATGTAGTTAGCAATCAAAGGGTTTGACTATCTTTGATTTAGGGTAATTAAAAAACAGAATGACTTTTAAGACTATGTAATGTTCCCACATAACTTCCCTTTTTCTTTTTTAGGGGTGATAGGGCCTTTTTAAATTGCCCAGGCTAGTCTTGATTTGGTGATCCCTCTGCCTCAGCCTTCCGAGTAGCTGGGATTATGGGTACTTGCCACCATGCCTGGCTCATTTTACTTCCTTATCTTGATTTCTGAATTGCTGTGGGATCCTCTTCTCAAATCTCTTATCTGGATCCCAAATTTAAGTTCAACAGTCTCATGCAAGGCTGTGTAATTTACCACTGAGCATGGTAGCTGAAACTCATTGCCTAGGACAACATACTACTAGAATTATCAAATAAGCTCTCCATAAGCATAGTAGGTATCATGATGGATATACAAAGTGCATTATGGTTATAGAGTTCCCAGACATTTGTTCTATTAGTTTTTATTATGAAGAATTGAAAACATATGAAAGTACAAAAAATAGTTCAATGAACCACACTTTCTCAACTATCTGTATGAGAAAAATTTAAGAATCACAACCCATACTTACTTCACCATCTTTGGCAAGCTTTCTACCACATCTCATGCTATTTCCCTCTAGTTCTTCTTTATTGATTTCTTGAGGCCTAAAAACATACATAAGACAAGAACTTCCATAGAAAATAGGTAACTGGTAATTGAAAAAGAGCTGCAAACAGTTAAAAAGAACAAGGGCTGGGGATAAAGCTCAGTGACAGTGTACCTTAGGTTCAATCCCCAGTATCACAATAAATAAATAAAATAAAAATTAGAAAATTAAAAATAAATAAAACAAAAAGTCTCACTACTTGATTTAAATATGTACACACACTTTTTTTTTGCGGGGGGGGGGACATGTATAGATAAAAATACGAATGTATTGGGCTGGAGGTGGAGTGTAGCTCAGTGGTAGAACACTTGCCTAGCATAATGAGGCCCTGGGTTCAATCCCCAGCACTGCAAAAGAATAAATAAATAAATAAAAAAGAATTGAGAATTTGTTGGTTAAATTTAGTCCATTACCTTGCTAAAAAAAATCAAAATTCTTCAATGTCTCACTTTTGCCCTGACTTCTAGATTTATTTTTATTAGGGCTCAGCCAAATCAGAGAAAAGGGGGAAAATATGAAAATGCTGTTTACCAGGAAAATATAATGCTTAAAAGTCTAATTGCTAAGTAAAAGAAATTAAAATCTATTATTTTTATAAGATGTGACCTAATTATTACCTATCACTTGATAGTACTTATTTTATAGGTAAGCCAGTTTCATTTAGTATAACTCTACAAAATCATTGTCATAGAAAAAAAAGCTGTATAATACTATCTATTATCCTTCAGTTTATTCCTTACTTTAAAAACTTTAGTTAACTGAGAGAAACCTTGTGATTTTAAGTTGGCATTATTATTATTTTGGTATTCCAAATAAAATATACTATATTCATTAGTTTACATATAAAGTACCTAGAAACTGAAACGTAATATATAATCATAATAAATAAATGTAAATAAGACATATTCTTCATGTCCAAGTACTGCACCCTAGTAAATAATTGGACATAATTAATGATCATAATAATGTGGAAAGAGACGCTATGTTAAAACCACAAGGGCACAGATTTATTGCCCAGAGTAGAGGGGGAGATCATGACAGAGTGTTTGTGTTTAGTAGGACTTGTGTTGGAGTGGAGGTGGGAGGCTTATCTGCACAGTGGGAAGGAATACATGCAGAAGGAACAGTAGGCTACATATAAAAAAGGGAGTGAAGAATAGAATATAAATGGAGAAAGAATTTAGTGCAGCTGGAATATAAGATGAACAGAAGGACAGATGAAGCTAAAGGCATCTGAGATAGACTGCTGAAGGTTGCCAGGGGTCAGGCTAATTAAAGTTTCAACTTTTCCTGTAGGTAAAATTCCCAGATGTTAGTTTTATTATTATTCAACTTTTTATTATGAAATATTGCAAACATGATAGTGGACAAAATTACATAATGACCCATCTCAATATCTAGTCTCAATAATCTTGAGCAATGATAATTATTTAACCATTAGTACTGAATGTCCTGGACACATTTAAGCAGGGAAGTAACACAACTATATTTCTGTTTTAGACAAATAATCCTCTTGGCAATACATAAGTGAGTTTGGACAAAAAGGACCCTGGAGGGAGATTTAACTAGTATAACCTAGTATCCAGGAAATACACTGCCTTCCTCACTTTAGCAATGCCGCAGCTGTGGGCAGATGCTGCAAACCCACAGAATAGAATATATCATCAATGGCAATATAATCATATACTTCTTTTTTTCAGTACTGGGGATTAAACTCAGAACTTCATGCATGTCAGACAACTGCTCTACCACTGAGCTATATCCCTGTCTCTATACACATAATTCTGAGGTCAAGAAAATSAGACACTTAGGTAAGACTCTTACTAACCTCAGTAAGGATAAAAGTGAGAAATTTTTTGAAAAATAAAGAATATCCAAAAATTTAAAGCTGAACATACAAAATAATGAAGTGTTATTATTTAGTTTTTATTTTATTTATAATCCCATTTTTCCCAAATCAAAATAAAACAACAACCCCAACAAAACCCTGGATGATAATAACCTCATACTTATTGTTTAGATATGAACTTATAAATAGACCATTATTTTAGGAAATTCTTCTGTATATAAAAATGGCTAAAGATATTAGGGTCAAAAAAATTAAACTTCTTGAGGCCTCTTCTATATACTTACAGGTGAAAGTCTTTCACACTATTTCAAGGAGCTAGCATAAGGAACACACAATAAATGTGCAAGTACTTATGTGAACTGCAAAGCACTACAAATTTAAAGAAAAGGTTATTTTCTTTCCCTTAAAATGAAGAAAGTGCATAAATATTCTGTAGGGGGAAATACCTGTAACCAGATAGATTTAATTCATTTTAGACTCAAAGATCTTCAAAACCTTTTTATTAATCAGAAGTTGATAATACTATCACAAATATGAAAATCAGCTTTATCTATAGATAAGTATGAAAAATAAACTTATGAAAGCATCATTCCAAGTAATATTTCAATGTTAAAAGGAAATCATAATAGGTGAAAAGGTATGTGAATTATTCAATTTTACTAACATAACAAGTGACAATTCAAACATTCTATTTACTATTTTAACTGACCAGAAATTTGTAAAAGATTGATAATGTATATAAGAATAAAAGTTGATTACATATCTTTTCTCTACTTCAATACAGCAATGATTTTTCAATATAATGAATACATTTAAAAATTCGAAGCAAAAAGAAAATATTATTTTTGGACTAGGGATATAGGTCAGTGGTAGAGTGCTTGCCTAGCATGCAAGAGGCTCTGGGTTTGATCTCCAGCACACACACACAAAAAAAACCCAAAATGGTTTTACGGTACTGGGAATTGAACCCAGAATGGCTCTATCACTGAGCTACATCATCAGCTCAATTTCTTTATTTTCCTTCTTTCTCTCCTTCCTTCCTTCTCCTCTTCCTCTCTTCCCCTTCCCCCTTTCTTCCCTTCTTCCTTTCCTCCCTTCTTCTTTCCACCATTCTTCCCCCCTTCCTCTATCTAACTGCCCACCTACCTACCTATCTATCCAACATTTGTGTACATGTGATTAAACCCAGGGTGCTCTACCACTGAGCTATACCCCAGACTTTTCTTAATTTTATTTTGACACAGGGTCTTCACTAAGTTTTACCCAGGTTGACTGTGAACTTGTGATCCTTCTGCCTCAGCCTCCTGAGTTGCTGGGATTACAAACAAGTGTATGCTAGCACACTTGGTTAAAAGGTTTATTATTATTTTTTTAATGAACAATAATAAAATGAAATATACTTACCCCACTTCACTGTCTTGTTCTGCCCGGAGCATAGCAAGCCACTGCTGCTTATATACAGAAGATAGCCATTCTAAAGCATAAACATTAATTAAGTAATTAAAAATAAATAAAAATGGAAGGACATACAGGATTTAAACATGTTAAGTAGTTGATAGAATTGTTATTATTTCTAAATTTTAAAATAGTAATTTAAAAAGCAAGTATCTTAGATTTTACAAATGTGCAGTAACAATATGGCTTAATGATCTTTTAAGTGGTAAAGTTCATCCAAATTTGCCTCAGTCTAGATTCTACTTAGATTACATAWACTTAAATTAGAATTTAAATCCTTAGTTAAAAGTTATTAATTAGAAGTTATTAATTCTTGCATTTAATAGTTTAAAAGGTTTCCTTTTCACAGCTTATGTTAATTTTCATTTGTGAGAATAATTTCTAAAACAATACTTTGTTTTACAAAAGTTTTAACAGAAAACTGAATAATGAATTTTTCCTTTATTAAATTACCAAAAAGTAAAAATTAACTTTTTTTTAAAATAAGCCACCATTAAATTAGCAAGTGAAAAATGATTACTTAAAAAATAATTTTGGAATATTAGATTTATATAACTGTCATTAAAAATAAAACATTTTGCCAGGCACAGTGGTATACTCTTGTAATCCCAGTGACTTGGGAGGCTGAGGCAAGAGGATCAAAAGTTCTAGGCCAGTCTGGGAAATTTAGGGAGATCCTGACTCCAAATAAAGAATAAAAAAGTTTGGGAATGTAGCTCAGTGCATAAGGCCCTGGATTCAATCCTTAGTCACACACTCACACTCTCTCTCTCACATACACACAAGACTTTAGCTTATTCTAATTATTATTAAATTTATAACTAGAGATTTTCTTTTTTAAAAAAATTTTTTTAGTTGTAGTTGGACAGAATACCTTTATTTTTTTTTATTTAGTTTTATGTGATGTTGAGGATTGAACCCAGCACCTTGCATGTGCTAGGCGAGCGCTCTACCGCTGAACCACAACCCCAACCCGAGATTTTCTTTAATAATAAGCATGTAATTTTTTTTTTTTACAAGTCTGGACAAGTTGAAATTTTAGTTATTTAGATAAAAATATAGATTAATGGGGCTGGGGTTCTGGCTCAGCAGTAGAGCACTTGCCTCACATATGTGAGGCTCTAGGTTCGATCCTTACTACCACATAAAAATAAATAAAATAAAGGTATTGTGTCCATTTACAACTGAAAAAAAAGGTTTAAAAAATAAAATAAAAGTAGAATTGCTTAGCACTATATTTATCTTTTTGCTATTTTATTCCCCAAACCAGAGAGTTGTTTTTGTAGGCTGAGTGTATATAGTATATAGTTCAGTGGTAGAGTACTTGCCTAGAATGTGCAGGGTCTCTGAGTTTGACCCCTAGGACCACAAATGGGAAAAGGGGGGTTGGGGTTGGAAGAGAGAAAAAGAAKGACTATTTTTCTTTCAAGTTCTTAATTTTTACCTTAAGGAGGGGAGAAACACCAGTGCAATTAAAATCTGGATTTTCACTTTCTAAGTCTGTACTTAATGAAGGTATCCAGGGCAGGGGTTGTACCTCAGTGGTATAGTGTTTGCTTAGCATGTATGAGGCTCTGTGTTTGATCTCTAGCACTGTGGGTTATGGGGTGAGGGGGGTGGGATCCAGATGAGTTCCAATGATTTACTGTATGCTTCCTTAAAACATGGTGTAAACACATTTTTAAATGTTTCAGTGCCCCAAAATAATATTCTTGCTATTATTAAAAGGCATAACTGCTAAATGTTTATGACAATTTATCTTCCTAGGTAAACTCATGACAAATTTTATGTGACTCAGTACACACACATATATATCTGCAATTCATTTGGATTTTTAAATTTTGTTTTACTGTAAAATGCTGGTTCCTATCCATTAAAATGATAATTTTACTAATGAGTTGTGTCTATGGCCTATCATGAATGATTTGTAAAATTGGAATGAAAGGGTTACACATATATATTCTCAGTATCATGTGAGAGATATTGCATGAAAATGTTTTTTAACATTTAAATTGACAAACTTTGTATAATCTCCTTTAAAACCAAAAACATTTTAACAAATTAAAAACATGAGTGCATATTTTTGTCCCTCCTGTCTTTCCAGTTTGAAAGAGTGAAAAGTCAAACTTTAAATCTTGTCACTGGTAGCTAAAAGCTTGTAGGACCTATGTCTTAAAAGCAGGATTCCAAAAACAACTCAATGGAACACAACTTGAAATGCACTATTAAATTATTACAACAGGGCAGAAAAATAATCTGGTACAATATAAGATGAAAATAAGTGAAACAGGTTCTTTTACATAGTTTTTTTTCAGTTATAGTGGACACAACATCTTTATCTTATTTTTATGTGGTGCTGAGGATTGAACCCAGTGCCTCATGCATGGTAAGTGAGCATTCTACCTCTGAGCCACAACCCCACTCCTACAGTTTTTAATATGCTTATATGCAGTCATATCTCCAGAGGGCAGTCATTAGACAGAATTTGCTAGTCTTTTTTTTTTTTTTTTTTTTAATATATCCGGGATTAAACCCAGGGGTGATCTACACAGAGCTATATCCCCAATCCTCTTTGAGACAGTGTATTGCTAAGCTGCCAAGACTGGCGTTGAACTTGTGATTCTCTTGCCTCAGCCTCCTGAGTTGCTAGGAATATAGGTGGGCATACTAAAATCCTTTTTGACAGAATATTGGGTAGAAAGATTCTGAAAAAGCCTTCAAGAAACTATGACTCACCAGAAATGGGGATGCTTGCCTATAATCCCATCTACTCAGGAGGCTAAGATGGGAGGCTTGCCAAGTTTAGGRTCAGTCTCAGCAACTCAGCAAGAACTTGCCTCAAACTTTTAAGAAATTAAATTAATTTAAAAAGGGCTGGGGATGTCGTTCAGTGGCAGGCYACCCCTGGGTTCTATCCCCAGTGACAAATAAATGATATAAATTAGAAGAAATTAATTTAGATTATTCCCTTGTCTTAAACAAAGGAAATGGGAACCATATCATTTAAAAATCTAATGGCCTATATTTACAGATTTTAAAAAACAAACAAAAAATCACATTCCTAACTTGCCCAGAATTTTGCTGTGTAAGTGAAAGGAAAAGTATATCGTTTATGGTCTGGGCAGCAGGAAGATATTAAATCAAGTGACCAAGTCTTAAACGAATGTGGAAAAATCACTAGATTCAGGAAAAGAAGGACAGAGGGCCAGATCACAGAAAGAATGAACACAGAAGAATTAGGACCATGACCATCAGGCTTTTATTAGCAGGGTGTGAGAGATGAAGTCCTACCCAGAGAGAAAATATCTTCTGGTAGAATGAAATAAATGGAGGGAAGAGATAGAATATTCTGAGATTTTGTTGACCCAGACATTCCGGGCAAATACTAGAAAGATTTGGGAGGAACAGTAATAAGATAGGTTAGTGGCATTTCTAAATTTTTGACTWAAAGATGGTAAACAGATATAAAATCTCCCTAGACTGATGAATGTATAACTTTTATTAATGTTAACACATTTGGCACTATTTCTGAAAAATGATCAATAAATATTAGGTTGATTAGTCAAAATTATTTCCATTTACTTCAAAGCTGAGATACCTTCCGACTCAGAGCATATAGTAATTTATCTYAATAATATGAGCTAATAATAATATGACCAATTTCTGTCCCCTCACAAGCACTGTGGTATGTAACTTTATACTCTGCATTTAAAACTGCAACTTTTATTTGGACATACAGGAAAATCTATTTGCAGATTTATATTTGTAGGATGGGGTATTTTATAAAATTTTTAAAAAGATTTCTCCCATAAGTCAGAAAAACATGACTGAATAAAAATCTAAATTATTTTATACTGAATAAAATATTTCAGACTAGAAATATCTGTGCCCATCATGAATTCCAAAAAATATAAAGATTATCCACCTGCATCATACATACACCTAAATTAAACTATTTTAGAACAGATTTTTTTTTTTTTTGCATTACTGAGGATTGAATCCAGGGCCTGGTGTATGCCAGGTACACACTCTACCACTGAGCTATATCCCTAACCCTTAAAATTCATTTCTAAAGAGACTTAAAAGGAAGTAAAATTGAAATGGGTATAATTGTCTTTGGCATCTAATATTAAATCACTGCTAGGGCCTGGTGTTCAATACATGCTGTATTTGTATTTCTTATATCCTTATGTATTACTAAACTGAATCTTTCTGAAACATTAGAGATTTAACTTTGAAAATGAAAWCAGTAGTTGGTTTCAAAAAATTGAAATTATAATTAGCAAGGATAATTTATCTGGTTCAACATGAAGTTTAAAACCTTAGATGGAAAGAAAAAACAGAAAATAAGCACATTTAAGTAGTATTAATAGAAAAAGCAGTTATGAATTTTAAATACTTCTGAAGTATTTTTTTAAAACTCAGGGGTACTTAATCACTGAGCTACATCTCCAGCCCTATTTTGTATTTTATTTAGCACCTCACTTTTGCTGAGGCTGGCTTTGAACTCTTGATCCTCCTGCCTCAGCCTCCAGAGCCACTGGGATTACAGGCATGCACCACTGTGCCTGGCTCAAAAGTCATTTTTAAAAGTCTGATCCAAAACAGTGTATTGATAATTAAATTAAAGAATATCCATATTACAGAACACTAGTCATTTAACTATTCTGAAGAATATTTAATGAAATATGGGAAAACACCCACAATATATAATGTGAACATAGAAAATTATCTATACGGTATAATTGTACTGGTGCAAAAAATATATATACCACTTTTGAATTTAGGTTAATTTCTTATTTGGTTTATTATTCTTTTCTATGATATATATTGTTGTTAAAATCAGAAAAACATTACTTAAAATCATAAATTCATCATATTCTCTTACCTGATGGTACTAGAGAATCTTGTTCAATAATCCTTGCAGAAGCCAGATCACTAATAATATACTGTAACCTTAAATGTCTAAACACTGACACAAATGGTTTCCCTTGCTCAGTTTCAAGGAATGCCGTACCTTCAAAATCTATTGAAAAAACAAAATAAGTGATTATTTTCAAACCTATTATTTTATCCCTAAATGTCTTTGTGGACAGGGATACACAAACACACATACATACACAGTCCTTAAAATACAAATTAGTTATTTCAAAGTTTCGAAGAATTTTATAAAACTAACATGTGAGGATAAAAACTTGGGGAGATTCAGACAAAGTCCCAGAAAATTAACTTTGGTCCTAGTCAGACTGCTGGCCTGGGAATTAATTTGGGGGGGCTTTAGAGTTTGTGGTGCAACAAGGGAGTAAAGGCTTGAGAAAAGTACTTAGGTTTAGACTAACTCTCCAGAATTACTTCCCAAGGACTGAACACTCCAGTGAAACTCAAGCCCAGAAGCTTCACTTGAAGGTCTTTCATAAGATTCTTAGGACACAGAACACCTTTTGGAGTCTTCTAATATTTCTCAGCAAAAACAAAACACTGTTCAAGGGAGGGAAAGGGAGGAGGCAGGGGATTAGCAAGGATGATAGAATGTGATGGACATCATTATCCAAAGTACATGTATGAAGACTCGAATTGGGTGTCAACCTACTTTATATACAAACAGAGATATGAAAAATTGTGGTATATATGTGTAATAAGAATTGTAATGCAAAAAATAAAACAAGTACATGTATGAAGACATGAATTGGCATGAACATACTTTATACAAAGATATGAAAAATTGTGCTCCATGTGTGTAATAAGAATTGTAATACATTCCACTGTTGTGTATTTAAAATAAAATCAATTAAAAAAAGACACTGTCATCACAGATTTGCAACACATAGGTAGTATTAATTTATTACTAAAATAATTCCAGTCTCTGAAGCACATGAATATATTTTTTTTTAATTTTAGGGAGAATTTAAGGTTATTCCAAAAAATTACTCTTGATTGCATTTCAATGTGCTTTCACGAATGTGAAGAAAATGTTTAGGTATTGCTATTAAACATGAATTAATTTGGTGCATAAGCTCCAGCTTACATTCACCCTTGTTTCTAATAAGGATAAATATAAGAGATGAGAGCTGCTATTATAGACTATTATATCTCAAGCCATGAAACACAAGTTTTCTGTGAACTAGAAAAGTATTTTGCACAGAAATAGTTTTCCTGAAAATTGTGAAAAGACATCTAATAAAAAGAATTTTCACAATTTTCAAACTTTTTCATACTTTTTTTTTTTTGTATTCCTTCGGCATCTACCAAGAATCAAGCAGAGCAGAAAAGAAAGTATTATACTTTTTAAAAATTAATAGTTAACGTTGATTATTTACACAATAGGTGTGTGAGTGGATTTATTTCTCTGCCTTTTTCTATAATGAAAACAGTTCTAGTTCATATGCTGAATTAACTGTGCAATTTCATGGGGTGTATTAAGAATATCATTAATGTTTTTACAGTTACTCTGTCACATAAGCAAGTTATAAAAATCTAATCTGTCTCATAAAAAACTGGTAATTATTCCATGGAGCCTTTCCTTCAAGGTTATAGGCTTATTTGCTTATTTTAGTAATAAATTAATACTACCCATGAGTTGCAAATCTGTAATGAYAGTGTCTTATTTTTGCTGAGACATATTAGAATACTCCCAAAAGGTGTTCTGTGTCTGGAGTATCTTGTGAAAAACCCTCAATTGAATCTTCTGGGCTCTAGTTTCACTGGAGTGTTCAGTCCTTGGGAAGTAATTCTGGAGAGTTAATCAAACGTTAAGTACTTTCTCAAGCCTTTACCCCCTGTTACACTATAAACTCTAAAGCCCCCAAAATTAATTCATGGAAACAAAAAATAAACAAGAAATAAAAATTTCTTGCTGGCCAACATGTCACTATATTAATTGTATCATTCAAATTCAATAGCAATACTGAGGTGTAACTGTATACAAATTTTCCGAAATTTCTGTTGTTTCTTTTCATCTTGATCCACATAGTGGAAAGTCAAATAAAACTTAAAAGAGATATATCAATCTATAATGGGCAAAAGGACAAGTGATTTTTCTCTATTTCCTAAGTATGTTTTCTAATTTTGAAAACTGTTTGAAATGACTTTTATAAAGACCTCACAGAAAAACAAAGGCATTAGACATATATTTTCCTTTATGCAATAAATATCTCTCTGAAAATTCTATATTGTATACTGTTACACATTGTGACTGGAATGAAGATTCTGGGGTGGGAAAAACAGAAATGGACCATAGTTTCCTATTCTGATTTCTGCCAGGTGGGCTGGAGATTAGTTTCTCTTATTGATGGGTTGTTGTGTTTGATTAATCAGGAGCACAARTGAGCATGAAGTTATAGCAACATTTATCCATTAACTACTGTTTCTATGAAGTCCTTTTGTCCTTCTAACTTCTCCACCTCTAGATTCTGTGTTTTATTTAAATTCTTTCCTATACTTTCCTCCTCTATAATTTTTCTAATCCTCCCTTAATTGCCACAAGGTAACACTGAAATATAATTTAATATATAAACTTAATATTTTGTTCTTCAAGTAAATCATTAGAATTTATTGATATGGTCTTTCATACATTTTTTAGTTCAGTAGCTTGAATAATTTATCTGGCTTTGAGCTAGGAAATTTGACTACATAAAATAATTCTATAAAATTTATTTAAATAAGACAAAAGAACACCACACTTTAAAATAAAGAACTTCTATTCAGGGCTAGGGATGTAGTTCAATGGTAGAGTGCTTGCCTAGCAAGTGCCAAGCAATCCCCAGTACTCCAAAAAAAAAAAAAAAAAAAAACCAACAACAAAAGAAACATTTGCCAGGTACAGTGGAGCACATCTGTAATCCCAGCAGTTTGGGAGCCTGAGAAAGAAGGATCGCAAGATCAAGGTCAGCCTGAGCAATTTAGCAAGTTCCTAAGCAACTCAGACCTGACCTAATAATTAAAAATTATTAAAAAAATTAATAATAAAAAATTAAAAATTAAGAGAATAAAATCATGGCATTTGCAGGTAAATAGATGGAGCTGGAGAATATAATGAACTGAARTCAATCCCAAAAAACCAAGTGCCGAATTTTTTCTCTGATATAAGGAGGCTGATTCATAATGGGGATTGGGGGGCAGTGTGAGAGGAATATAAGAAGTTCAGATAGGGCAAAGGGGAGGGAGGCACGGGGGTAGGAAGGACGATGGAATGAGACATACATCATACCCTAAGTACATGTATGAAAACATGAAAGGTGTAACTCTACTTTGTGTACAACCAGAGACATGAAAAATTGTTCTATATTTGTGTGATATGAATTGAAATTACATTTTGTTGTCATATATAACAAATTAGAATAAATTTTTAAAAATCCAAAGGCAATTAGTCAATTCAGAATAGAAATAAGGTAAACCTATTAAAGTAACTATACTTTGAATTAAAAAAAAAAGGTGGGGGATATAGCTCAGTGGTAAATTATCCCTAGGTTAAATGGTACCTCCCCTCCAAAAAACAAACTTCTATTCATCAAAAGACATCTTTAAGAAAGCAGAAGGATAATCTAAAGTTGGAAGATAAATGTAAAATGAATTTATGACAAATGATTGGTTATCAATATCACATAAAGAAGGGGATGGGATTGTGGCTCAGTGGTAGAATGTTTGTCTAGAATGTGTGGGGCCTTGGGTTCGATCCTCAGCACCACATAAATGTAAAATAAAGATATTGTGTACACCTGGAACTGAAAAATAAATATTAAAAAAATACATACAGATTACCTACAAATCATGGCTTGGGGTTGTGGCTCAGTGGTAGAGCACTTGCTTAATATGCATGAGGCCACTGGGTTTCATCCCCAGCACCACATAAAAAAACTAAATAAACAAAATGAATGTATTATGTCAAAAAAAAGGAAAAAGACTCATACATTTCATAATTTCATAGAAAAGGAAAAACATGACTAATATAACATATACAAGCCATTTAATCTCTTTAGTTAACAAGGAAATGAAAATTAAGACACAATATGAAGTAGTTTCATAACAACTAAAACAAAATGGTATATTATCCAGTGGTACGCTGCAGCTGGCTCATGTTAGTTCACAGGAGCTGTGTGCCTCTCTTTCCAACTCTGCATTCAGTGATGTTATTTTGGTAGCTAGAAATCAGCCATGTGAAGAGAATTTTGGCCATGGAAAACTTTGCTACAAATCAGGGATTGGTTTTTCAGTGAGTCAGCTCATTAGCACACTACTATGTTAAGACATATATTCATATATGTAAAGACTTGCACTTTTATTTCCTAGATCTGCTGCCACTTAATAGCTCAAGAGATATATGCATAAAGTGGCAAAATTTTGTTTAAAGCAAAAGAAAAATAAACACAAAATTCAATGTAGCGGTTGGGGAAAGTAAGAGGGACTTAAAAGGAGAAAAACAAAAGGACACTGAAGTACACTCTACAGGGAAAAAATTAAAATTAGTTCATGGAGGTTCAATATATTATTAAAAATACCTCAAAAAGATGGCCATACACGACCAAAAATGATAGTATGCTAAGAAAATGAAGAACAAAGGATTATTATTTATCTACTTTTTTTGTACCTGGGGGCCATTAGAAGTTTTTTCCTAGATTTATTTTAGCAAACTAAAAAATAAATACATTATATACTTCCTTCTACCCATATTAGACCTTGTTAGCATTTGATCTGAATCAATTTTGGAATAATTTCCCTAAGAAAATCTGATAAAAGATACAGAAGCTCCCCCTCTCCAAAAATGCAGATAGCACACATGTACCTAGCCAATTCGGAATTTACACACACAGAAGCCTGTCCATAGCCTCTCATGTTTTAGAATTGTTGCCAATAGATAGGATAATCGGTTATAGAAAAATTCAATGTGATTAAACTAAAGAATGAATTTGATAACCACGATCTGTTAGTGAGTCAATGGGAGAAAGAACAGTTTTAGGGATAACCATAGGTAAGGCATTTTTATTAATCTAACCTCAATTTTCTCATTGTAACTAAGAGACTAAATTAGATAATTGCTAAGGTCCTCTCCAGATCTAAATTAAGTCTATAAACAAGTCAGGGCCCAGTTTTAATAAGTTCCATTAAAATAAAGATAAGTTCTTTAAATTTTAGGCATACCTTTTCTCCGCTTAGAAAACCAGACATCTGTTTCTGTCAAAAGCTGTTTTAAGGATCCATTCCAAGAAGGCACAAGTTGAAGGAACATCCACTGAGTTTAAAAAAAAAGAAAAAACATTTGATTTCATCATTTTGTTATTATATTTTCAAACTGCTCCCACCTTTAAACATAACACCTTAAAATTTTAAATTTACTCTTTTATAAGCAACAAACAAAAAGTATAACTATTATATGACATCTTTACCAGCTTTAAATTCATCATGGCATTAATCATAGTCCAATGATAAAAGCCAAATGTGCTTGTGTCAAGAAGTAAGCTAGTCCCTAAAATTTATGGTCATGGATACAACTTAGATTAATGTGTTAAATAAATCTTATTTTATGCATATCATCAACTTTATGCTAACTTATTCATTAATTAACAAGTCAATTTCACTAAATACTATGTAAGGCTAAAGAATCAAAGTCAGGTACATTGACACATGCCTGTAGTCCCAGCTACTTGGGAAGCAAAGGCAGGAAGATTGCTTCAGCCCAGAAGTTTGAAACCAATTTACACAACATAGTGAGAGCCCATCCCATTCATAAATAAATAAATAAATAAAATTAAGCACGGGAAAAAGGATTATCTTATTGCTGTTGAAACAGTATCCAGAGTAGTTAAGAGTATGGATTTTTATATCCTAGATATGCTACTTAATAGCTCAACAAATTGCCTATTTTTTTTCTGGGCCTTAATTTCTTCAACTGCAAAATGAGCATGATAATGTGTCTACCTTATAGGATATTAAAAGAATTAATAGAATGGGGCCTAATGGAGATGATCCCATGTAAGTGTTAGCATTTATCATTACTAGCATAAAAGCAGTAATAGTAATGGTACGAAATAATTAATACTATCTTAGTTTAGAGATAGAAATGAACCTTCTATAACTTTATGAATAACCCACACACTAAACTTCCTTAAGAAAAATAGTAATGGATCCCACCTCTGCCATAGAGATAAACAATCCTAATCATATAACCCAGAAGGCGTCTCAATCCCAAATTTCACAACTATGTTACATGTAGACAGTGCTCCAAGTCAGGGACAAAAGGCTAAAGGCAAAATTATGTAATTGGAAGGGAGYAGTGAGCCAGAACTCATAATACCTGGCCTTTGCCACTTAGTCATTATAAGAATTCTGAGTCTCACTACTGTAGTAAAAGAATAACAGCTGATTTATTTCTTCAGAACTATGAAAATTAGATTAAAACATGTTGAAACCTTTCAAAAAGATGAATTACAGGTAGGCCTCTAGAAGAATAATTTCACATTTTACTAGAAAAATTATTTGTGAAAATTTCATCATAAAATGTTGAATTCTACTAAAGCTCAACTTTGAAAACATTCCTGAAAACCATATAAAAAGATAACATCTTTTACATGAAACATTTCTGATTATGTAAAGATATAACAAAAACATGTTTATGGTTGAAAAAATTCTGGGAAAAAACAAAAAGTACTCCTAAGATAGAAAAGAACAAAAAAATAAAGTTATCACTCATGAAATCCCTAAATATACTTTTTAACATTTTAGCAAATAGTTCCAACTTACAATGGTTGATTTAAGATTCTTCAACTTAATGATGGTACAAAGTGTACCCATAAAACCATGACTTTTTCATTTTCAGTGCAGTATTTAATAAATTACGTGAATTACGCAACACTTATTATTTTATGATAGGATTTGTGTTAGATGATTTTTGTATAACTGTATGCAATGTGAGCATGTTTAAGTAGATGAGTCTAAGCTATGATGTTCATTGAGTTAGTTGTATTAAATGCATTTTTGACAATGATATTTTCAACTTATGTTAAGTTTGTTTATCAGGATGTAACCCCATCACAAGTCAAGGAACATTTGTAGCTTCTGTTCTTTTTCATGCATTCATAACCATCCCTTTATCACTGGATACCAGCTGTTGCCAGGTATTCACTATAATGAGCAAGGCTGAGGGGATATCCTTGTGTACATCATATTATGTGAATACCTTTTTAAGAGCTGTATAGACGTCCATCTCCACTTGCATCACAAATAAGTTAGATGAACCAATAAGCTGTTTCATAATGTTTATACTGAAAAAGATGAAACAGAAGCGTGAGCTTAATCTTCACACACAGACTGAAGGATGCTGGTGGAATGAAAAACTGTTTTTATCAAACAAAAATGGAATTAAAAACTATAACAGTTTTTTGCCCAAGACCTATCTTGGTTAATAATCTATCTGAATACAATAATACTAGTAATAAAAATATAGTAATACTAATAATTCACAAAGTACATTATCTTTTTTTCACACTGACAGGGAAAAAAATCTAGCCATTAAACAACAACAAAATTATAAACTATGTTTTAAAATGAAAATTAAAAAAGATATTTGAACTTCCCTTATTCCACAATGTATTTAAAAAATTTTTTTTCACTTGTCCCCCCGACCACCCCCAAACCAACAAAACTGGTATCTCAGGAAGCTAAACAATGCTATCTTTGGTTTTACACCATTTCCTCCAGAATATCACATATTCCTGACATTTGTATCCTAAATCCTTTAAAAGTTCATTTCCACCCTGAATTTCTCAGCCCCATCATATATCTTAGCCTCACTATTACAAAACAGCTCCCTGACAGTAGAAACAAGGACATAATCACTTCTGCATCCCTCATAGCTCTTAAAAGAATACCATTAATATATAATGGACATTCAGAAAGTATTTTTTGAAGGAAGGAAAGGGAAGAGAAGGGGGGATAATAAACAAACAATTTCAAAAGCAACCTAATTGTGAATTTAATTTAATTAGGCTTAGCAAAAATTTTAAAATTATTTTCCTCAAATATAATTTCTCAAATACAGTTTAAGAAATATAAGAAACTTTTAATTCTTCCAGAGCCTGACAGAAGTAACACTGAAACTTCTCTATAGTAGCAACATATTTTTCTGTTAAAATTGGTTAAACAAAATAGACATAGTATCATCATTTTATAAAGAAAAGAAATTTGTGTAGCATTTTTCAGTTCATGGATGTAAAAATATGTTTTGTGTTCTACAAAAATAACTTACATACTTTAACAAATGAAAAACATTATTCTAGGATATTAATTACAAAGTTATTTAAAATTCAAATACCTGAGTTCTTTAAAAAGCTCAACATTCTGGTGAGTCATCAAATTGTTTAAAAGCCACTCAAGGCACCTGAAATTAAAATACTTAATTATTACATTATATATATTTATAATTAACCAAGTAGGTCTTACAATTCAGATAAAAACAGAATATTAATCTTGCTAGGACATGCTCAAAATTTTTAGTTTAACAATATGAAATTTAGTATTGCTTTTGTCAGTAGTTATTAAGGAGATATTTCCTTGATATTATAGCATTTCTACTTAAGAAAAACATTTCTACTTAAGAAAAAATACCATTTCAGGTTTGTGTTAAATAGTTTATGATGGGGCTTGCACATATCTTTAAGATCTCAAAACGAGTTCTGCAATTCTCAAGAGTTATAAAAAAAAATTGTCAATAGTTGCACTGATAAAATATCTATTAAACCTACTCCTTAAATAATTTTAATAGAAAATGTAAAGAGTGACCATAGTTTTTATAAGCTTGTATAACCCACTCATGGTCACTTAAAAAGACAACACTTTTGAGGAATTTACTAATTAGTTCAAAAGAAAAAGGGACTTTTAAAATAATAAGATTCTATCCCCCTCGTCTTTTTTCTTTTCTTAATTCTTTTATTTTCTTATAACTCTACATACATTCTCTTAAGAAATCAAAGCAACCAAATTCCCAGAAGTGGAATGGGAAGAAAAACAAGAAAAGTAAACTCACTTTTTCTTTACAGAATCTAATCCATAGGTCCCTGCTGATGTGTAATAGCCACATACAGTTTTCACATTAATTGTTTCCTTCATTGTCTCACCACACTGCTGTATTAAACCATCCTGTAAATATAAATAAGCACTGGAAAGGCCCATTTCATGTGGGAAAAATTAGTTCTGATATGTGCTTTTACATATTAAAAAGTTTTTTTAAAAAAAAGGAAGAAAGAAAGAAAACTCATTAAATGCAGCAAATCTAAATTTTTTTTAAGTCCAATAAAAATACAAAAAAAAAAATTCCCCAAGTATTCAACTTAATACTTAGAACTGAAAAATGGAAGTTGGGGCAGAGCAATAAGGTAAATAAATATAAATATTATTATTCTCTTTGTTTTCTATTTTTCCCCCTCTGTGGGACCTTTGCAAATTTCTTTGGCAGCACTTTGTGTGTCTTGCCTGTTCTTTTAAAATTAAGAACTCTCTACATAATCAACCAGTTAACCATGTAACAGGTTAGACAAGTAAATAATATGAATTATCAGAGAGTTCCTATTAAAGTTTAAAACACCTATCAATATCTAAGACATTCCCATAAAACAAATGTAGTATAAACAACTTACATTAAAATTTTAATCTGAAATGTTTATATGGTTTCAAATGAAAAAACTTTAATATATAGAAAGAATAATGATGCTTTTCATTCAAATTTCTGAAATACATTCATCATGCAAGTATATTATTAAGTTAGAATTAGTAAATTACAAAAATAAGGCAGAAAGTCAATGTAGAACAAAACCAAAACGACTTAAGTTAGAAAATAAAGTACACTTCATTGGAAATAAGTATTGAAAGGATCAAAATATTTTTAAAAATCAAATTTTTACCAGGGATATTTAGCAAGTTGTTATAAATGCCAAATAAAAGGAAGCATTTTTTAAAAAAATTAACACATTGATACAAAATGGTTTTTAAACTTACCTGACAATCATTCTAGACTCCTCCCCTTTCTCTTAACACTTCATCTGTCACCTTACCCAGCGGATTATCCTTATTTAATCTTTTGGCTATCCATCTTTCCACTCCATGTTTATTGCAACTACTTTAACTTGGACTTCACTTGGACTCTGCCCCATAGGCTTTTGTCTCTAATGTACTCATTTTTCATTTTCTCTTCAATACATTCTTCACACATCGATCCTGAAATATTCTTTCTAAAGCATAACTTTGTCTTTCTTCTTATTAAAATCTTCCAAAAGTACTTACATATAAATTCATAGGAATATATAGAGGGAACTTCATAATCTGTCTTCTGCCTCTCTTTCTACAAGCCCTGTTACAGTTTTGCTAGAGCCATGCTCCTCTTAGATTCTCTAGTCCTCCATCACTTCACATCTCTGGTCTTAGCTTACTCTGTTCCCTATGTCTGAAATGCTCTTCCTCCCTCTTTCTTCATACAATGTATGACTCAATTTGGAAACATCCTCCTATGACACTATTGGGTTATAAAATGACTAATTCTTTCTTTATGGATCTACTAAATCCTACAAGATTTTTATACCTTTAATTTTGGACAGCTCTTATTTTACCTTTGGATTTATATATCAACCCTTTTCCTTTCTACACACACATACATATACTATACTGTGAGCTTCATGAAGGTAGGACTACATTGTTGTTTCAAAAATTGACACACACAAATTGTATGTATTTAGGGACTATATACCTTGGATCTCTATGCCTAATTTGACATATTGGTCAACACACTTTTTTTAAATGAATAAATCTGTCATTCTAAGATTAAAACATATAAATGTGATTTACACATAATTATTTAACAACTAAGAAAAAGTTTACATAGTAGCATACATGTTTTTTGAACTCATGAACTAAATTAATTAGTAATCAGAAAACATATGTTTACTAGTGTAAATAAGTCATTAATAGAAATAGGTAAATGGACTTAGACAAGTAAATATTTTCCATATTACAGTCATACAAAGAGTGACATGGAAATAGTTTGTATTCGTTTTACACAGACATAAATCCCCACCCCAGTTATAATAAATTGCTTTTGGTTAAGCATTTTAAATGATTTATAACAAATAATACATTTATACATTTAATTTTCATTTTAAAATTATAAAGGCTTAACTTTATTTTTGGAAAGATATGTTGAAACAAAGAAAACACTGATTTTTTTWAAAAAAATAATGTGCATACTTACCAACTGCAGCATACAAGCTGCTGCCAAAATAGCAATAACTCGACTGGGCTTTATTAAGACATCATCTCGATACAGTGATCCAAATGCAACTTGCAGTGCTGAAAGTAGAAAGTGCACACGTAGAATTAAATAACAATAATTAAATCTATAAGATTATTGCAAAAGTAATGACTGTCTTCACGGTGATATTTATTTAAATCTCTAAAAGAAGTATCATAATTAAAATCGTAGTAATGGTTACTCATTGATGATTTTAATATAACAATGTTGTAAATTTTGTTTATTTTATGAAATTTGGCTGCATTTTTTAAAGTCTAATCTTGATGTTTTTGACTAGAATAAAGATGTCTTTCGAATTTTTATAAGATATTCCTGAATAGAGCAATCATTAAGTGCAAGTTCTCACTGATAATCTTAATTCTGTCTTGTTCAGTGATTCACCACTGGAGAGTATGGTACATAGCTCCTGGTCCTATCCACACCACACTCACAGCTATCTAGGCCTGACCATCCTTCTCTCCACTGCTACTCTCATCAGTGTTCTAAGTGGTTTATTTTGTAAACATTCTCAAGTTTCTTTTTTGCCTTTGTGGTGAGCACTGGGTATCCCCCATTTGGGCTATCAATGAGGGGAGCAGAAGGAGCACTGGAATAGGAATAAGGAAAGAAATAGTGTGACTGCAGGATCACTAAACTGTTCTCAGATCCAAAACAAGTCCCTATCTCTTTAGACCTTGAATTCCTCAATTAAGTATCCCTACACTCTAAAATAACACAAATTACATGATTCATACCCTTCCTGTTTCCAGAAGAACAATCTTCACACATTAATTTTTTATAAGTGGTCATACATTTCCTTCCTTCCCCCTACATTTCATATCCCAGGCAGACAAACAAATTTGACAAAGTCCACAAGACTAAACAGATCTAGGACAGGAAGAACAAGACTGATATAGTATTCGAGTAAATTAATATAAAATTATTAGCTTCCAATGTTAAATGGAGCTTTTTCCTAGCTGACAAAGTTAGAAGGAAATAATTATTTTCTATCAAAATAATAAATTTTATGAAAGAAATGTTTTATGATTTTTGCATAATAGTAATTATGGAGGAAGTACCTTCTATATCAATATTCTGGTCAGGAATCTCCAGTTCAATAATATTCATGCTGGATTCTTTCCAAGAACCACTGAACATACTAGAAAAGTAGCCTGACTTAAAAAAAAAAAAAAAAAAAAGTCAATGATTATCCACTACTTTGTCTCCCAAATTATTTTCCAATTTCCAGAGAAAAAGAATTGTCAAATATGACCATAGAAGAAAAGAAATAAAGATAAGGCCATTATTAGGTATATCAAATTATGTCAGTTTAATACAATTTTAACACAAACTAAATCAAATTTTATATTACTATCTGAATAGTCCTCACACTGTTGAATCCTTACTGTGCCTTCATGGTGATAAAGGGTTTAGATCAGTTCCAAGTTAATACATAAGTATGTTCCCCCAAAGAAACCAGGAAAAATTCTGATTTTATTTAATCAGAAAAATCCAGAATGAACCTGAAATATAGGAAGTCTTTACTTATCTTACAAATAGCATCCCTCAGAATTACAGTACTTCAGAATACATCAAATATGAACTAATTTGTTTTAAAAATTTTACTCTTTAGTACAGTTATCCCTTTGAATGGTTCCAAGAAAATCTGAAGCTGCAGAAAATCTGAAGCTGCTAAAGTTTCTTATATTTCTATGTAATCTATGCATATCCTCTCCTATACTTTTAAATCATTTGAAGATTACTCCTAATGCAATGTACATGCTATGTAATTAGTTTACACTTTTTTTTAAGGGGATAATGATAAGAAAAGTCTGTATGTGTCTTAGTGCAGATGGAATTTTCTTTTTTCTGGATATTTTTAAACCACTGTCAGATTTATTTATTTTTATGTGGTGCTAAGGATCAAACCCAGTGCCTCACACGTGAAAGGCAAGCATTCTACCACTGAGCTACARCTCCAGCCCCTATTTTATTCTATTTTGAAAGTTCTGAATCTTTAACAATAGAGGACAGGAAAATTATCAGCACAAATATAAAATAGGTACATCAGCTAAATTCTAAATGACATAGTTTATATATACTTTTTGTTCATCTTGTTTTTTTTTTTTTTGGTGGTGGTGGGGTAATTGGGGATTGGGGATGGAATTCAGGGGCACTTGACCACTGAGCCACACCCCCAGCCCTATTTTGTATTTTATTTAGAGACAGGGTCTCACTGAGTTGCTTAGTGCCTCTTAGTTACTGAGTCTGGCTTTGACTCGCCTCTTGTCTCAGCCTCCCAAGCTGCTGGGAATACAGGCATGTGCCATTGCGCCTGGCTCATTTTGTTTTTAACTAAACTAGGTTTCCCAAGACAGAATAAAGGGTTAAATGTCAAGAACCTTTCAGTCACATTCAACTTGAACTTCAAAGCAACATTTCACATGAATTTATGCAAATGAACAATCACAAATAAAATAAATTTAGCAATATTAACTTTAATAAACCATTTTCTCCTGACTTTTCCCTCTTTATCAACAGAGGGCACTGAAATAAGCACCTTGTTGAAGTAATGACTATTGCTGGGCTAGCATGACAGTGAGTTTCAAGTCTCTTATTTAGGCCAAACTAAGTTTTCACTGACAATGTTTACCATCTTTCTAGTAAAATACTTCTTTAAAAAAAAATTTTTTGTAGTTGCACACAACACCATTTATTTATTTATTTATTTATTTATTTATTTATTTATTTATTTATATGTGGTGCTGAGGATCAAACTCAGGGCCTTGTACATGTGCAAAATGAGCGTTCTACCACTGAGCCATAAACCCAACCCCTTTCTAGTAAAATACTTATTATCAGATGAAAAGATTTTATTACTGTCCATGCAAAAGATAACTGTGAAATGCAACGAGGAAGAACAAAAGTTTGAGTTTCTTTAAGTAAAGAAACTGGTAACCAACAGAAAAATAAAATACTTACTTGACATAAATATATTTTGTGTAAGCTCCACTCTTCTCCGAGAGCACAAATCTTAATGTCACTGTTTTCACCATTCAAAAATAATGTTTGATAAATATATTTGGATGTGCTCTTTAATTTTTTCCTGTTGAAAGACATGTAGAAGTTATAAACCTGAATGTTTTATTGATTTTGAAGACATTTTAAAATACTCCTTTTGTTCAATTTAAATTAGAGTTTATTTGTCCATTGTGTTAAAAAAAAAAGGGGGACAGAATATTATATATTCAAATTTTCTCATTTCTAGAAGAGTACAGAAGATAATACCTAGTAGCCACCTCTGGGGCACTCCATTCACAGGGGGGAACAACAGTGGATAGGGGCAGCAGCATGGGAAGGAGACCTTTCTCTACGCACCTTTTATATWTTTTTTTAAATCTTTGAATTAATTTTAATTACGTATTTAATAAATTAAGAAGATAAGTCAGCATGGTGGTTTTTGCTTTTTTCCTTATTTAGGAATCAGCATAGTTATAGAGAATTTCAATATAACTGCAATAATTTGCTGTGCACCTAAAAAATGAAGAACAAGAGTGAAAATTCCCTACCCAAGTAATTAGTAAAATAATTTACATCTAACCTTATTGGATACCAAACTGGACTAGTTATGACTGACTTTAAACTAACTCCCATTTGTTTGGACAAATGGTCTGAAACCTTAAATCAAAGGTTTTCGAAGTTGTGCTCATGAAAGAACATTTTAGGGTTCACCAAGGAGAGGGAAACAGTGAACTCTAGACACCTAACTTCACCCAGAGCAACACCAGCCACTACCTCTATAAACACACTGGATTTCTGCATAAGATTTAACTTAAAGGAAGACTTAAAAAGTTTAGAAATCATTAAGCAAGATGATCTAGTAAATAAGGAAAGCATAGGCAAAAGCTGATCAGTCTTCACAATTTTTGACTAATTCTGACAGCTTTCTTAGTGGTTAAAAATTTTTAAATTTCTTCTTAAAAATGAAGTCATTGTTTCAGATGGCATCTTGAACCAGTGTATTTAATACCGCTTCCCAACAGATATTAAACATAGCACAGTAGGTTGGGCATGTAGCATGTTCCTGTAGTCTCCGCTACTCTGGAGGCTGAGGCAGGAGGGTAACTTGAACTCAAAAGTTTAAAGCCAACCTGGGTAAAACAGTAAGACTCCTCCCTAAAAAAAAAAAAAAAAAAGTACAAAAATAGCACATACTTTTATGGTAGATAGACATGGGTTTGAGGCCCTGGTCTCCTACAGCTCTGTTACACTGTAAAAAGATAATATGAATAATATCTACTTCATTGAGTTATTGTGAGAAGTAAAGGAGACAATGTGGTTTCTGATTCCTGATAGTACCACAAGTACATGTTTGATTCCCATCCCTCCCAAATCTCATTAAAGAACAAATTCATAAAAAGGAATATTACGTTCACAGTAACAAAAATATGACAGTGGGCTCATCATCTGATAAGAGACATATTAGGAATCTGAAAATTAGAGAATAAACTGGAATAAAAAAGTAGAGAAAGCCACAGCACAAAATATATTATAAAGGGCTCAGATGGAGGTTAAGATTTTGTGTCTTTCAGAACCCTGTGAGGCGGGTGGAAGGAAGGAAATATGAAAATTTGTCCTCCTTAGTGGCCTCCCTTACTCTATGAACACAGAGTACAAACACCCAGGCAAAAAGACTTCAGGGTTTTTCTACAAAAAAAACAATCTGCCAGAAGATCTAAGGCTTTTAATGTAAGTATTGGTGATCCAGACAAAGCAATCCTTACTCTGGAATTTGAGGAATATGTAGCCTATCAGCTCCCAAMCCATTCATCCTCAGTCACGATTCCCAAACTGTGTACCAAAATACCTGGAACACCGCAGCAAACTAGATAGGCACTATAGCATGTTTTAAATTTGAAGAAAACACATTTTTTTAGACAACACGTAATCTACCACTATTAAGTTGTTTGGACTTAACCATCAGGTATTTCTTCTACATTAAGGGGTGCCATACAAAATTACTATGACACTAAGGGCACTGTAAAAGTTTGGAACTCTCTACTCTAAAACAAAGAAAACCCACATGTTTCCAATTCAGTCAATCTTTGAGTAGGAACTCAAAGAAGAGGCTTATGGAAATACAACTATTTGCTTATTAAAACAATGTACACATACAAAGCAGCAACTCATTCTTAAACATAAGAGGACAACCAAGGATTACCCAACAAAATAAAAAGAGAATGACCAGAAGAAGTATCTAATTCAGGAAAAGAAAATTTCAAAACCCTCTCATTCATATACTTAGATATCTCAGATTATTACACTTATAAGGTGCTATGAAAAAGAAGTACTCAGAACAAGAAAGAGTTCTTATAGACTATTATTATGAATCTCTAGATTGTAAGGCTCCAGCAATTATCAAGTCCATCAAAAGACCCATAATTAGGTCCGTTCTAGTTCAATTTAAAAACACCAGAGATGGGCTGGGGTTATAGCTCAGTGGTAGAGCACTTGCCTAGCATGTGTAAGGCACTGGGTTCGATTCTCAAAACCAAATATAAATAAATAAAGTCCATTGACAACTAAGAAAATATAAATTTAAAAAAAAGAGAAAAAAAATCCAAATGTGTCATAAAGAAAAGTCACCTAAAAAGAAAAGAGAATTAGATCAGGATCAAATGTTTCAACCATGCTGTAAGACAGAAGACAATGAAGTAATATGACAAAGATATAAAGTTATTATAGAGTTTCAGACCCAAAGTATGAATAAAGAAAGAGATAAAATTTGTATTTAGATATGCATAAATTATCCTATTTTGTGCTCTTTCATGAGAAAATACTTGGAAGATTTAGATCACTAAAAGAATGAAAAAARGGAAAAAAAAATACAGGCCACAGAAAACAGTGGCTCTAATCCAATCCTAAAATGGGGTGAAAAAAGTCCCAGAATAGGAGTAGACAAATCCAGATTGGAAAAGAAGGATGGAGGAACCCTGGAGGGAAGTCTAGGATTTAGAGGAGATGAATTCCATGCAACTGTGTTTCAGAAGGTAGAAAAATCTGAAGATATTATTCTTTTGTCAACAAGGCAGCCAGAAACTCTGAGACAACAAAAAGAAATCCAAAAAGGCACTGTCCAAATAAGATACAAACAAAAACAGCCCAACTTTAAGATTCCACTTAACTATGAGGTTCAAAAATTTCTCCCTTTGAACAGAGGGTTGTGACATTGGACTCAGCAAGTATGATTTATAATCCTAGCACACTACTTGACTCTGCAGCAATCTTTACATAGTTATAACAATAAATACTGTTTACTAGATTTCAATTTTTAGGCACAAGCTATGGACAAAGCACTGGTTGGAGAACAGTGTGGATTTTAATAGTCCTGTTAATGAAAAAGTAAGACAAGCACTTAACCAAAGGTATGAGGTAGAAAGTAGGCCTAGAAGACAAAATTTCTTCTGAGGTAGTTTGTTAGGCAGGAAAGCACAATAAACAACCTCGAGAAGTGTATTAATGCTAACACATACAATTGTAGGTCTCAATATTTTCTTATTTTCCATGAAAACATACATTCTGATAAGCATTTTCTAGTAAAGCTTACTACAAAGACTTTCCCTTATAGTCTGCCCATGTAGTCCAGGAATTGGCACATCTTTCTGTAATGGTCTAGATGGTAAAAACCTTCAGCTTTGGCCCAGCAATTTTGGGGGTACTCCCATTAAAGTTTTCTACTCACCAGTCCCAGCCTATCACATTTAGCAAACTTTTTCGCCACCTTTTCGCAAATTTTAGCTTGGGGAGGGAGGGACCTATTTCAAATTTGTTCTTTCCTTGGATATTCTGCCTCAGCCTTACAAAAAGTGACTATTTCCTGTATTTTCTATCCCTATATTTTTAAGAGATCTCTTTGCCTTAATATTTGCCCTTAGCAGTTAATTCTCTGTTTCTGTTAATGTTTATATTTAAATTATCCCTGTTCAAATTACTGTGTAGTTTCTTTCAAATGGGCACTGACATATATTTCAATAATTATATTAAAAATATGTGGTCTAAATAATAACTAAAAGGCAGAGATTGCTCTATTGGATTAAAAAACAGGCAAGACTCAACTAAATGCTGTCTCTATGATATCTACTTTAAATATAAAGACACAGGTAAAAAGTGAAAGGATAAAATAAATAAATAAATACATATAACAATTATCAAAGAAAGTGGTCAAATAACCCAATTAATAAATGGGCAAATGAATTAAACAGACACTTCTTAAAAGAAGAAATACAAATGGCCAACAAATATATGAAAAAATGTTCAATATCGTTTGCAATCAAAACTACATTTTATCTCACATTAGTCAAAATGGCAGTCATCAAGAATACAAACRATAATAAATGCTGGAGAGGATGTGGAGAAAAAGGAACACTTTTTACACTGTTGGCAAATTAGTATAACCACTATGGAAATCACTATGGAACGATGTTGGTAAATAAGTACAACCACTATAAGTATGGAGGTTCCTCCAAAGACTAGGTACAGAACCACTATATAGCCAGCTGTACCACTCCTTGGTATTTATCCTAAAGAATTAAAGTCATCATACTTCAGTGATAAATGCATAACCATGTCTATAGCAGCACAATGCACAAGAGCCAAACTATGAGACTAGCCTATGTTTCCATCACCAGATGAATGAATTAAAAAAAAATGTGGTATATATACACAACAGAGTTTTATTCATGAAATCATGTCATTTGCAGAAAAATGGATGGAACTAGAGACCATTAGGCCAAGCAAATAAGCCAAACTCAGAAGGTCAAGGGTCAAATGTTTTCTCTCATATGTGGAAGGTAGAGAGGGGGCAGGATCTCATGAAGATCAAAGGGAGATCAATGGAGAAAAGGGACCAGGAGGTGGGAGGTAAGGAGGAATGGGGGAAGGGGAGAAGTGCTGGGGAGTGATGATGGCCAAATTATTTTGTTGTTGTTCATGTATGAATATTTAACAACAAATTCCATCATTATGTATAACTATGATGCACCAATAAAAAATGTGGAAAGAGAAAAAATTTTAAAAAAATAAAGAAAGTAGTAGTGGCTATATTGCCAGTGGACAAAGAGGAATGAATATTTTATAATAATAAAAGGACCATTTAATCCTGAGTGGGTATATGCCAGACACTGTGCACCATGTTCATTCTCAAATTTGTGTTAACTATGAAGTTGTTTTAATATCTATATTTTACATATGAAGAATATGAAGTACAGAATACAGAAATGAACTTAGAATCTAAGTGCTTAAAACTGCTACAGTGAGTGCTATGGCACATGTCCAAGTAATTCCAGCAGCTAGGGAGGTTGAGGCAGGAGGATCACAAGTTGAAAGCCAGCCTAAGCAACTCAGCCAGACTGTCTCAAAATAAAAAATAAAAAAGGTTTGGGGATGTGGCTCAGTGTTTGGGTTCAATCCCCAGTAACAAAAATATAAAATAAAAACTGTACTACAGTGACTCTTTAGAAAGGTTACTGAAGGAGGGAGCAGAGGAGGAAAAGGAAAATACTGGGAAACAATATTGACCAAAATATCCTGTGCTTGTACAAACATGAAACAATAAATTCCACAATTATGCATAATTATGATGAACCAATAAAAAATATGGGGGGAGTAGGGGTCAATTTTTTTGGTAAATAAATATAAACTAACATAAAACCATATGAAAAGTTTTATAAATTAAACTATTAAACAGCTTTTACCCATGATACTTAAGTACTACCTCTATCATTGATCTGTTACACTACCGTCGTGACACTTTTTTACAATATGTAACACTTCTGCAGCAAAAATTTTTGAATCATTTTTAAGGTTCATTTAAAAAATACATCTATTGATTCCGCCAAAGACCTTAACAATTGTTACGTGAAGAAATATTCTACTTATAAATTGCATTTTAGTTCACAAGCAAATATTCTGTTTTCCAACTTTTCCAAGAAAAGGGTAAGCACGCTCTCTGAAGCACACAGCTTGACAGATCCGCGGTCAATGACTTCGTCTACTACAGACTTAGAAAGACTTTGTTCTCTATTAGGAATAAAGGCACACTATTTGATAAACTTCACGTTTCTACATAAGGAGAACCGGGCGCAATTACTTCCCCTTTACTGAGTGAGCGACAATAAAGGTGCCCATCTTGGGCATCAAATTTACGCCTGTATACTGTTTTGGCAACCGGATGCAAAACAATTTATTCTGCGGTAACCGCTCAGAGAGGGCGAAGGTGTACTACGGAAGGCCAGCYAGTGGGTCGTTCTCCAGGGTTGAAAGAGAGGCAAGCTCTAGCTGGCGTTCCTCAGTCTCATCCCGAGGCTGAAACAACACCCCGGCAGCGTCAGTGGTTTACAAGGCAGAACATCAGGCGTCTCCCGGATCTGCCTTGTAGCAGGGCTCGTTCATTTACTCGGTTAAGGSCACGTCCACTCTTTACGGGCGGGGGGACGCCGCATCCAGCCAGGACACTGGACGCCGGCTCCACCCCAGGCCCAACAAGTGCACGTGCGGGTGTGGGTCAGCTGGGGAGCGCCCCTCCACGTACCTTCGAGGAGTGTTGAGGAGCCTCTGCTGCTCGTCGCCTTCATCCTCATCCTCGTCTGTCTCGGAGTCAGGGTGACAGTAGCAGAAGGCCCCGCTACTCCGCTTGCGTTTGCGGCTACCCGGGCAGTAACAGAAGCTGTGGCCAGCCGCGTCGCCTCCAGTCTCCGGCCTCCGGGCAGAGCCCCCGACTCCGGGACCGGGCTCCTGTGGAGCTCGGGCTCGCCCAGGGTGGCGCAGCACTCGGCTGCTAAGCGAGCCCATGGGATAGCGCTCCCTGGTCCTTCAGGGAGCACGCTTCAGGACACCCAGAGGAGAGGGTCTCCCGCCATGGCCCGGCCGCTGCCGGCCTCCTCAGCCCAGGTGCCTACACAGCCACCTTCTCACGCGCAGCCCCAACGGTTGAAGAGGACGCTACCGCCTCCATCCTCCGCCCCGCCCGCCGCGTCSAGCCGCGCCGCGCGCCGAGACCGCAGAACCTCGCCCCCTCCCCCGCCTCGGCCTATCGCAACAAAGCGCGGACCGTTCGGCGCAAGCGCGCGACGAGCCTCCGGAAGGGGCGGGGAACCGCGAGTGCGTGGCTGCGGGAGCCTGCGCAGGACGGGGCGCGCGGGTACCGCGGAGGGCTTCCTSGCCTGCGGTTGACCTGGTGTTTTTGCTAACGTGCACTGCAGGGCAGTTCTCGTTGTTCGCTGTAGTTCACATACGTCTTTTGCATCAGAAGTCATTCATTCTTTCTACAAAGTCCTTTGGGCTATAGATAATTACTGGGCCTTGTGCTAGACGAGAAGCAAGAACACCTTCTGTTCAGGCTTCTCGAAGGAGCTCTCACTTCCTGGGGTCCGACCCTGCAGGTTTGGGGCATGATTTCCTGTGAGAAGAGCATTTAAAAGGCGGAACTACGTGGATCGCCCGAGTTTCTTCAGCCCTGGGTTGTGGCAGACATTTCCTGCACTACCCTCTCCTCCTCGCCCTTTAAACCCAGGGCCTCATAGATGCTACGCACTCACTCTACCTTGAGCTACATTCCCAGCCCTCTGCACTCTTTTCCTTTACTCCCAGCACCAGTGGGACGTCTGAAACTTTGTCAGAATTTAAAAATACCTTCAGGAGGCCCTAGCAAAATTAACAGGTGTCTGCGTGGGATAGCAATTTTTGCAATAGATTGGACAGCTAGCTTTTGGTTGCTGCCTCTCTTTCTGCCACCCCAACCCCATCCTTTGCCCTTTTTGTATTGGGGACTGAATCCAAGGGTGCTTTGCCACTGGGATACATCCCCAGACCTTTTACTTAGCAGGTAGCCCAACTCTGTTATCCAGGCTGGACTCAAACCTGCAATCCTCCTGCCTCGGCCTTCCAATCACTGGGATTCCAGGTGTGGGCCGTCGTGCCTGGCAACTTCTGCTACTTTTTAAGTAAAATGTTTATAATGAAATCTAATAGAGTAATGTGAACACCTGTGGACACCCCCCCACCCCCGCCCCGCCACTGACTTGAAATTTTTTTATGGTAGTTGATTTATTCTAACCCTCCACCCAGCTTTATTGATATATAATTGATGATTTGTTCTTTTAAAATAGGACAATAAAAATATGAAGTTCCCTGTGTACCCACTTTCCATCTCCATTTCCATTCCCAGTGGTGATCACTGTCATTATTCCCATGCATATCCTTGCATGCACACCATAAACAATGTATTTTGCACATTTAGACATATAATTAAAGGAAATCATATAATACCCATCATTCTGCACCTTTTTCCTCTCTCAAAATGATACTTTTGATTAAATCTCTAGATCATTTTTGTCTGCTCATTGTAAGACTGACCCATAATTTGTTTATCCACTCTCTTAGTGAGTCAGATTATTTCTAATTCTCTAACAGAGCAAAAATGAACATTATGTGCAAGAGATTCATCAAGTAGATCTCCCAACAGGGGGTTTGCTGGGAAGTCTTCAACCCTACCAGCTATTGTTAAAGTTGGTCTCAATTGATTGCATCAATGCGCCAACTTATATTCCCCTTGGCAGCATGTGTAGTTTGGGGGTCCCAGTGGACTGGTATCTGATTCATTCCTGAGAAATCTGAACTGGAGAACCTAGCTGAGGCAGCTTGGGATGGAAGTGGGAGGCAGAGAATGATGGCTGCAATAGTACCAGCTTGAACGCACAGAATTTGTTAGCATAAATTTGTTAGCATTAATGTGCAAGTGTTTCCCATGGAACAGATGTGGGCCATCATGAGACAGCCACTATGGTGTCATCCTATATCCCTTCCAARAGACCTGGATGCAAAGGCAAATTAACTTCATCCCAAAAAACCTAAAGTCATCACCAAATTCAGAAAGGCTGAAAAAGAACTGCATTTACCTTCCTAGAGGAACCCCAGGGTGGTTTCTGTGGTGATAAGTTTGACAAGGGAACCCACAAGAATCAGCTTTGAGGTCCTGGGTTGTGGCTCAGTGGTAGAGCACTGGCCTAGCACGTGCCAGGCCTTGGGTTCAGCACCTCATAAAAATAAATAAATAAAATAAAGGTATTGTGTCCAACCACTAATATATATATATATATATATATATATATATATATATATTTAAAGAATCAGCTTTGAACATCTGCCAAGATTACACAAGGCTGATTCTCTTTTACGACGCCACAAACAGCCAGGTAAGTAACTTCTTACTTTCTTGCTCTAGTTACTCTCCTCCCTGCTGCTAAAACTCAGGAAAGGTAGGCTGGTGGAAAAGGGGAAAAATGTAAGGAAGCCTTGGTGGAGAAAGAACTCTACCCTCTCCCCTTCCCCCAAAAGGTGGCATCTCACTGGCAGTAGGCCAGAAGTGAATGAGGGAAGAAGCCAACTGTAAATCAACTGGAATTTTGACTAGATATATTAATTACTGAAATGATACTTTTTGTTACCTTAAGGGACTACACAGATTATTTAAAACCTAAGAGAGAGCAGAAAAGTCATGACTCTATCTTCTATCTGAACTGACATCTAAAGACAAGAAAAGAACTAGACTYATTGAATAAATGAAAATGCACAAGCAGGAAAGAGAAACAAATTTGCTTCATAATTATATCTCAAAGTCACGCTTCTTCACTATAACAAATAACCATTCCTCCAGGGTGGCTTTATCTTGCCTTCTAGAAAGATTCTGGTCAATAAATGCAATTTGTTAAAAAATTCTGGCTAAGCCATGTATCATTTAAAGATTAAAATTCTACCAAAATAAATTACAAAAAAACCCTCACAATGCTTCCAAAGTGAAATAAGTTTGATTTGGAAATTCCATGGTCTTCTGGTTAGTTATTGACATGGAAKTATTATTTCCTATAGTTAACTGGAATGACTAAGTACTCACATAAGTAGCTTTCAACAATAGCCCCAGCACTTATAATAGATAAGTAGCACTAAACTGGAAAGCAAATCCTTAATATTTTACCCCAATCCATCTATACATAGAATGGGAAAAGAAGGCATATATTCTTATCATAATAAGAATATAAGTGTTCCTCATATATCTGTAAGCTTTTTGTTGTTGCTGGGGATTGAACCCAGAGTCTGGCACATGCTATACAACTGAGCTACACCCATAGCCCCTATATAACATTTAAGTTAAGGATTTTTTCTTTCTTTCTTTTTTTTTTTTTTTTTTTGGTACCAGGAATTGAACCCAGGGGCACTTAACCACTAAGTCACATTCCCAGGTCTTTTTTATTTAGAGACAGGATCTTGCTGAGTTGCTTAGGGCCTAAGCTGCCGAGACTGACTTTGAACTTTGTCTCAGCCTCCCAAATGCTGGGATTCAGGCATGTGCCACTGTACCCAGTCAAGGATTTTTCTTTTGGTAGGAATGGGGATTGAACCCAGGGCCTCGCATATGGTGGGCAAACCCTATACTATTGAGCTCCACCTCCATTCCACCCAATATAACATTTAATATAAATGTTTTACTTAGTAGAACAAGAACATGTTCATTTCCAGAGAATAAGTTTGTAAGTTTAATATCATTCGGTAGTGTTTGGCATATGTAAGCATTAGTTTTATAGCAGTAGGCAAATATAAGATTAAATATGTTATTTTTCCCGTAAATTGTAATCCCTATTAGGAACTAAGTATCACAACTCCTTCAAAAATAACTCCTTTCATAGTCCAGCAAGAAAAATCTCAGAAGTGGAAAAGTTCAGCAAACAAAGAATATACCTCATTTTAAAGTCATCATTTTTTATTAAAATTATCTTTCCATGTTGTATACAAACTGAACTTTTTAGTTAAGTCCAAGCACACTTTCAGAATGATTATAGGGCTGAAAAAGCACAATGCACATGTAAATTTCTATGGATTAACAAAAAAATCAAAAAAGATTTAAGAATTTATTTTCAGCACAGATTTCTTTAAGTCAAACAAAATTCAGAGCATTACACCCTTACCAGAATTACCTTATTTGAAGCTTGCTTTTTTTCCCCCATTCACTTTTAAGCTAGATGAAGACCTTAACTATTATATTGTGGAATGTTCAGCATTTATCTTTGGTAACCAGACATATATGACCTGTACAATCACACTTGGATTTTAGTTTATTTAAATGAGTTGGTGATTTGGTGCACTTCAACCTTGAAAAGTGTTCTCAACATGAAATGAAGGAAGCCCCCTATGACAAACAGTAAAGATCAACAAATGCTACAAACAAAACCCAAAAAAGGAGATTTGTGGGTGCTTTCCATCGATGACCACACAAAATAGAAAACAGGATGGATTTTACTAGCTAGATGCTCACAATTTCAAATGAAGAAATTACCATCCTCTTTAAAAGTAGGATTAGGGAAGAAAGTGATTTTAGAATGGTCTTCCAGTATCCCATTTTAAAAGTTTTTACTGAAAAGAAAATATGAAATAATTTAATGTATTCAATTTCTGTGAAACATAAATCTGTTAGAAACACAGAGCACATTTTAATTTCTAATTTTAAATCTCCATTTAGAACTTACAAGCTTTGAACTACAAGTACAGCTTTAATGCATCATAATGACTAATTATAGATGATAATAATACAGACAGTTTATATCCTAGGAGGCAACTGTAGGCGTCTTAATTGGAAATAAGCATTCTGAGTTAATGCTAATAGCAGTGTAGAAAAATGAACTTAAAAAAAAATTTCAGTGTGGAGAAGAAAATCCTCCTGGGACTTTATTTTAATCATCTCCTCCACAGAGAATGAGCAGTACTTTCCTGTAGTCTCCGGATGTGTCACCCTGGGGGCCAAGGAAGCAAAGTTACAGTCAGATAAGTGGGTTTTTAAGTAGAACACACAGATCAAGGTCATCTAAGTTAACTTCAAGCTTGGTTGGATTTTTCTCAGCTCTTAAAATATTTTTTTTTAATTACAAAAGTAATATCTGTTCAGTGTAGAGAATAAWGACATAGAAGAACAACATAAAAATCACCCACAGTTCCACCATCTATAGATTACTAATGTTAATATTTTGATGTATGAATATGTTTCCTGTCTTTTTTCTATGCATATAAGATACCTTTGTGATGGGATAGTAGTATTCTTCTGTATCCTGCATTTTGTGTGTGTGTGTGTGTGTGTGTGTGGAGGGTGTTGGGGACTGACTCCAGGGTCTTGTACATACACTGAACTACACCTCCGACCCAATAAATTTGTGTTTGTCCTTCATAGACATAGACACAGATATAATCTCTATCTATATAGTTCCAAATTTTAAAATATCAATTATTCTCTTTGATAATACTGTGAACCTGCTTTCTTTTTTGTATTTGTCAAATGTTCTTTTCCCTGGCCATGTTCCATAAACTTTTTTACATACCCCTGTATTTTAGCTATTCCTTATAAGCAACATGAAATTGGAGTTCATGTTTTTACTTAACCTGAGAGTTTATTTTTATTATTATAACTTACATCTTTATCTGTGGTCATTTTTTCTATTATTTACATGTACTACTCTGCTTCTTTTGACAAGCTGTTACCCAGTGGGCAATGTAGCCTTTATTTTTCAGAATATTTAATTCACAGATCAAATCCTGATGTGAAGTTTGTTATGCAACCACAGCTTCCAGGAAAAGGAGTCTCAGTTTTGTGTTTACGAGATTCTTCTGGCTTCCTCAAGAAGCAAAACCCACTAATGAGGGGTTTTGAGGGATGTGAATCATTTACTCATCACTCCCAAGTCATCTTAGGACTCCTAGATGTCTGGTATCAGGTAAATAATAGCAATCTAGGAAAACTTATGTTTCCMCATATTACCAGCAGACTTCAGCTTACCCTGCACAGGATTCTGGATTCAGTTGCTTCTCTTATCATTTATTAGGAAGACATGGAAATCATGCTCTTAAAGGTATTCAATAAAATGTAAACTTCTTTTCTCTGGGGTCAATGTGAACTCATTACTGATTTACAAGGCAAAAATTACCAGCTTATAACCTGGCAAAGGTTTAAAGATGTGTGTGAAAGAAGAGAGTCTGGAAATATCTGAAGTGGAGGCCCATTTGTATGGGAAATGACAGATGCCAAGAAAAAGGGGACCTGGAGTTCTAAATGCTGAGATCAGAGGCCCCCCATTCCTTCTATGGCACTTTCCCCTGGGCCAAGGCAAGGCTGCTGTGACCCACCTTGATAAAAGAGTACAGAGACTTTCCATAGAGCCTCTTGAAATTTGCCCGGATGTCCAGCATGTCAATCTCTGCTCGAGAAACCATCACTCTAATAAGGGTGTCATCATCAGTGCCCAAGCCCTAGGGAAGAAAACAGATCCCTCAGTGGGAAAGGCCAGCTGGTTTTCAGAGTGCTCTTCTCCCGTCTGGCAAGGCAAGGGATGGGTGACTTTCCTGTGGTGTCCTTTGCTTCACAGCCTTGAGGGCCTTCACCATGGGATTCAAGGACCCCCCAATTTACTTTTCCAATACTCTATATTCAAACCCAAAGCTACTCTTTGCCCTCTAGAGACAGATGCTGTGCTGTCCTGACCCAACCTGTCTGCTTTACCTTCCATGAGTCCTCTTTTCCCCCATGTAAACTTTCCTAAAGGTCCTGCTCAAATACACCATTTTATTTTATTTTATTTTTTTGGTGCTGGGAATGGAATGCAGGAGGGCCTCRAGTCCTATGCTGTACCACTGAGCTCTACCCCCAGTCCCCAATTTATTTATATTTTCTTTTTGTATCCTCCCCTCCCCAACAAAAGCAAATATTGAAAAAACAAACCCCACCCTTTCCTCCATGTTCCTATAATATTTGGACTTTCGACTGCTGTCTTTCCTTCTGTGTTATTGATGTTCTTCACATACTTGCCTCCCTATAAGGCCAGATGTTCTTTGAGAGCAAGGGCTACATTTTGATCTCTCCTGCACCTCTCATGGACCCCAGCATGGGTGCATCCATGGGTTAAGAGCATGGGCCCTGGAGCTACACTGGCAGAGTTTGCATCTTTGTTTCACTACTTCCTCACTGAGGACCTTGGGCAAATTGCATATCCTCTCTGTGCCTCAGTTTCCTCATCTGTAAAATGGAGGTTTTGATAATAGTACCTGCCCCATAAAGTTGTGGAAATAAAATTAATCCGTACATATAAAGTATTAAGAATACTGGGGCTGGGGTTGTGGCTCAGAGGTAAAATGCTCACCTAGCACATGTGGGGCCCTGGGTTCGATTCTCAGCACCACATAATAAAATAAAGGTATTGTGTCCAACTACAACTAAAAAAAAAAAAAAAAAAGAGAGAGAATACTGATTTGAGGGCTGGGGTTGTAGCTCAGTTGTAGAGTGTTTGCCTCGAACATGTGAGCCCAGGGTTCGATCCTCAGCACCACATAAAAAAAATTAAAAAAAATTAAGATATTGTGTCTATCTACAACTAAAAAAAATTTTAAAAAAGAATAGTGATTTTGAAATAAATAGAAGGAAGATCGGTAGAGAAAGAAGAATGAGGAGGGGAGAGGAAAAGAAGAGGCACCAGGGACTCAAATGGAGCAAATTAAATTTCATTCATGTAGGATTATGTCAAAATGAACACAACTATTATGTATAACTACAATGAACTAATATAAGCATAAAAAAAGAACAGTGATTGGGGGCTGGGAGTGCGGTAAAGCTCTTGCCTGCTCATACTACTAGAGCCCAAAGCTCTGGGTTCATTCCCAGGACCTGAAGTTGGGGTGGGGGCTGGGGAATGACAGTGATCCACACATCGTAAGTACTCAATAAATACCACTTTGTATTATTAGTAGCATCACTCAGTGAAGTATATACAAATTGAATTGAATATTTCAGGCTAAAATTTGGGGGAATATAAGTAAACCTAAGGTGACACAAGATGTGCCAAAATCATTCAGATGTTAAAAATAAGGCCATTTACCTTCATAGATTTATAAAGCCTTTCAGCAAAATATGCAGATTTATTCCTCATGCATTTTACTGTCAAGAGAAAAACAAAAAGAAATGAAATGATTATATATATGACCTAAGAGAAAGAAATGGATGCTAGTTCCCTCAGTTTCTACAAAGTATCAAGAAACAGCTCTTGATTACTTTGATGGAGAAATTTCTAGCCTAACGTTTCATGAACATAGGCTATACTCTAGGCATTTCCTGAGATGGCAAGCATTCTCAATTTACCATAAAGGTCCTGGAAAAGTAATTAGTAAAGGCCACAAAAGCAAAAGGTGGCATGTAGTTTCAAAATGATTATGATCTTTACAATATGAGACAATTATTAGTTCCAGCCATCCACAGACATGCAAGATGCACCTAGTATAAAATGATCTTTCACATAATGAATTATAAAAGCTATCAAAGAAGATATCAAAAATATAAACCACATAAAACAATAGCAATCAGGTTGCATATAATATTCCGGTAAAATCTGGAACACCCCATGATTAATTTAAACAACTTTAATTTCTGAAAAACAAAATTCTATATCCCCAAGACAAGAAACTGGCAACAAGAGGAAAAGTCTATAGACATTTGTGTCTCCTCTCCCCACTCCCTACCAGCTTACCTATAGCCAGCAGAGCATCTTCAAAATGACCAGATGTCTCAGATATAATACTCTGTTCAATATCCTTCTGTGATATCCTTTTGTATTCATCAAACACTACAAGCAACAACAAAAATGACATTATCAACAATAAAAAGAATAGAGGAAACTAAACCTTGTGGAGAGAATGAGCATCTTTTAATTAGTTTACACTCTTTATTCTTTGGCATATTTCAAGGGGAAGCTAATTAACAATGTGGGTGAGAATTCAGTAGGGAGATGGCCCAGTGGAATGGCTGAAGGCAAGGAGGAAAGAGCACTATGATTCTTGGAGGACATCAGGCAAGTCCCTTTCCTTTTCTGGGACCCTGTTGCCTTACATTTAAAATGGAGACAACCTCTGGAGACATTTGCTGTCTTTCCTCATTGCTTCCTTAATATGCAGAAGGTGTCTCTTTGTAATTTTGACTTTGGCAATCACCTGTGTGTTCATCTTCCTTTTGGCTCATCAAAACTAGAGCACTTCAGCCTCTTCAAAATTGAGTCACAGTTGATAACAGCCGGTTGCATCTTTTAATAGATTTTAGCATAATTAAAAACTTTTTTTTCTTGCTTTTTTGCCAAGTATTTTTGAATGTGATAAACATGTCTTTCTCTCCTGCTGTCTTCTTCTGGAGCCTTCTTAGAGCAGATATCTTAACATCACCTTCTTTGTCTTGCCCCCATGGATATGATTCTTATGGGCTGTCAGTGAAAGGACACCCATACCCAACAACATACACCATAACCTCAACCAAAACCAAACAAGTGAGCAGTTCAGCCGGTCAGCTCCATCAGACTTGCCCTCCTGGGAATTTTTTAATTGAGCATATCAAGGGGATGGCCAAAAGCACTAAGTCATCTTACCCTCAAAGAACATAAGAATCACTTCTCAAAACTGTCAAACTATTGAGTGTCACTCTCAGAGATTCCAACTCATACAATCTGAGTAGGGGTTCAAAAATCAGCATTTTTTAATGCATTGGCAAACAGTGCCTTAAAAATAAAAGCTGTGACTCACTTCTAGGGAGGTTCCCAGAACTGCCTTCATTTCTGTTCTTCATGAAGTTGTTCAACTCTTCCTTCAATTTTGTGAGCTACCTGTATTATTTTCTATTTATTTTCCTTCTGGCCCCAATCCATATTATTTAATTGGAATCAGTATATGTTGCTTGGAATCAAATGATCTAATTGACACACTTTTTATGGGGTGGTGGTGAGGACAGGTACCGGGGATTGAACTCAGGAATATTCAACCACTGAGCCACATCCCCAGGCCGTGTGTGTGTGTGTGTGTGTGTGTGTGTGTGTGTGTGTTTTATTTAGAGACAGGGTCTCACTGAGTTGCTTAGCGCCTCGCTTTTGCTGAGACTAGTTTCGAATTCCGGATCCTTCTGCCTCAGCCTCCTGAGCCGCTGGGATTACAGGTGTGTTTGCCATTATTGTTGGTTGGTAAGCAATTTCTGATGCTTTCTTTATCCAAATAGTGCTTAAAGTATTTTCTCTAGGGGGCTGGGGATATAGCTCAGTTGGTAGAGTGCTTGCCTAGCATGCACAAGATCCTGGGTTCAATCCCTAGTACCACCAAAAAAAAAAAAAAACCCAAGCATTTTTAGTGACTTACAAGCAGTTATTTTATAACTGTCCAACTATTGACTTGTGTGCCTGGAAGGGAAATTTCTTACAAATGCACTACATCAACTTTAGAGAAAACTGCAGTTTTGGAAAAATACCACCAGGGGGAGATTTGTGTTATTTGTAATCAGACCATGGAAGGCAATGAAATGAGTGCTGAGCCACGAGTTGGTTCATCTCATGGTAGCCCATGATGTTTATTAAGAGAAGTAATTGCTTATTTTTTTTTTTTGTCACTGAAGAATAGCTGTAATAATTACAACTTCAAAAAGTACAACTGTGTTGTACTTTTCAATTACTCTGTTTTCAATTTAGCAAACTCATTCCTCTCAAACCCGACAAATTTTGTAAATCTGTGTGTGTGATAAGGGTATGTGGGTTWGTAAAATTATGATGTACATAAAGACCCAAAAAGTTTACATAAAAGATGAAATATCCTATTAAATCCTTATTTCTGTTTACAAGAAGGATATAAAACCCTGACAACAAATGCTCCACAGTTTCATAATCTTTCCCCTGCAGACATTAAAAGCTCATTATGAAGTTTAGAATTATCAGACACAAATTAGAAACATCACACATAGGAAATAAAATTTGAAATGATCCACTCTTCATCTTATGCAACATAACCTCTAGAGAAATCACTTCTTTTAGGTACCCAGCATGGATGTTAAACAGGAATAAATATAAATGAACACTTCTATTTTATTTCTTCCTGATGTACAAAGATTATTTTCTTATGTAACTCAACAAAAATGAAAGTCTTGGGGCTGCTTCAGAGAAAGGGCTGGCTRTGATGATTGTTTTCCTAGAAACAGGAATGCCAAATTTCTATAAATACATTGCATATGTATTAGTTGTTCATAATTATTTTTTCAGAAATTAGCTCTCATTCATGTCATTGGATTCATAACATTTCCAAGGTAAGAACCTGAGATGGTTCAGTACACTTGTGTTTTTTTTTTTCATCAAACAAAGAGGAAAAGGTTATCAATTATTTATGGGCCAGTTTTCACTGTCTTTCAAAGAGTTTCTTTGGGAAGAGAAATAAGTGCCTACCATGCAACAGATGATTTCGATTCCGGGAACAGAGAACAGATAGAAATTTCACCTCATCTGTCCCCCATCTCTGCTCTCCAGCCGCATACAGGTCCTGAAGCCAAACAAAGCACAAATTTGAAACACCAGAGAAGACATTTCAGGACATGTGCAAATATTTCAAGAACTTCAAAGAGCTGATTTGGCTGTTTAATTTTGTTGGTTGGAGAGGGAAAACACACACACACACACACACACACACACACACACACACACACAATCCCCTCCCTTTCTCTCTGTTAATAGAGGGTTCCTGGCTTACAATGGTTTGCCTTATGATTTTCCAACTTTAAAATGGTGCAAAAGTGATACGTGTTCAGTAGAAACTATACTTTGAATTTTGATCCTCCCCTGGGCCATAAGCAGTATACTTTACTGCAGTTGAGCAGCTGCAGCAGTAACTCTCCCAGACAGCCACAAAATCACTAGTATAAACAACCAATACGCTATAGTGGAATGTGTTGCTAAGCTAGGGTGTTTGGTAGGTTTGGTGTATTGAATGCATTTTCAACTTAAAATTTATTTTCAACTTGCAATAGGTTCACTGGGACACAATCCCCTTGTGAATTAAGGAATATATGGATGTATATAAACCTATAAATATGTGTATATTCACACACACACATATACCTATACACCTTATTGGTTCTGTTTCTTGGAAATCCCTAATACACGACTTCAATTAATAAAGTACAGTGGAAGTGACACTGATTTCTGAGGCTGAAGTATAAATAATAACGAAGCTTCTACTGGTTCTATGGGAAAGGTTGCTTTTGGGGTGCCCCTTCTTGAAACCCAGCAGCCACACTTTGAGAAGCCCAAGCCACACACATACCCTCTTCTCTCTAATGAAAGCAACGGGTTCTCTTCTGCATAAACCATAGTGGTTCATACTACATTGGAGTAGAACCAATTTCTTACTATGGTTGTGTATTGGTTAAGAGTATAGGATCTGGGGCTGGGGATGTGGCTCAAGCGGTAACGCGCTTGCCTGGCATGTGCAGGTGCTGGGTTTGATCCTCAGCACCACATAAAAATAAAATAAAGATGTTGTGCCCACAGAAAACTGAAAAATAAATATTAAAAAATTCTCTCTGGGGGCTGGGGATGTGGCTCAAGTGGTAGTGCGCTCGCCTGGCATGTGTGCGGCCCGGGTTCGATCCTCAGCACCACATACAAACAAAGATGCTGTGTCCGCCGAAAACTGGAAAATAAATATTAAAAAAAAAATTCTCTCTCTCTCTCTCTCCCTCCCCCCTCTCTTAAAAAAAAAAAGAGTATAGGATCCAGATGCAAATCCCAGTTATTCCATTTTCTATCTGTATGAGCTTGAGCAAGGAACTTTTCTCTGCGCCTCAAATTCCTTGTCTGTAAAATGAGGATTGCAATGCTCAACTGCCAGGGCATTGCAAGGATTTGATGATATATTTAATGTTAAGTCCTAGGGCAGTGTAAGGACCTGGGAAGAATCCACTTTTATGAGCTATTATTTTTAGTGTTATCTGGTCTCAGTGGTTGGTACCAGGGAATCATCTGCCTTTTTGGGTTTGGTATTAATTTTATCCCTCAGGATATATGCTGTGCCAAACTGTTTTACATAAGTCCTACTGAATGTCCTCTTTGGGGAAATAGAAATACAAAGTAAATAGACAAAAGTGGGTCCTTCCAGCTTCAAGTGATTCAGAAGATGCCCAGTGATTTTCTGGGCTTGACACACAATGACCCAGTGTCAAGAAGTCTAGGATCCAGGAGTTCAGGTATAATGAAGTCCAGTATTACCCCCAAGTCCCAAGTACTTCTGCACAAAACCTCTGTTATTAAAGGTTATCCGTGGCACCTTTTTTTTTTTTTTTTTCATCATCTACCCTAGACTGGCTAATATACTCTGAAACAGAAGAGGGTGTCCACCGACTCTGGCTTGTCTTACTGGCAAAGAAACGAAAACTGGGAGAAGGTAGCTGCAGTTCTACCCACCTGGGCATCCTGTTTCATGAGCGCATCATCCAGGAAATTCCCCTCATCCCTGCCACCCTGAGGATGAGAAAAACAAACCAAAGAGAATGAGAGAGCATTCATGAAGATTCTGAAAAATGAAGACAGAAGGCTCAGGAACCCAAGGACACAGTAATGTAACTACAAGGCTGCAACATCGGGACTAGGGAGGCAGGACAGATGTCCTCTGAATGTGCCTGCGCTGCTACCATGGCTCTGATCCGTGTGTAAAGAACATTGCCAGCGTTACCAGGTACCCCATTGTGGCCCCCATGCTGCGCCAATGAGAGAATGACAGCTCCCTCTACTCTCCCCTCCCTCCCCTAGCTCCTCCCACTGCATCTGTCTTCCCAGCTGATTTGCTGCCTAACTTGTTCAATCTATTCGGATAAACTTTGGTCAAAAAGGGATTGGAATAGAGAAGAGTCAAGAGAATCTGGAACCTGTGGTGGGATTGGAGGAGCACAGGAAACATCTCACACACTGTGTCACACCAACAACCCCAGCTCATGGGAGGCAGAGGGGAGGCCTCCCGGAATGCCAAAGAGCAACAGAATAGGGTGCTCTCTTCAAGTTTTTCAGACTATTTTTTTAGTGCTGGGCTTCCTCAATATTCTGTGGTCTAAGTATGGCTCCTCAGGATGGAAAATATGGGAGGAAAGGAAAATATGGGAAGGATATAAGAGAAACAGGCAGGTATTGTGGAAGTAAATATCAGAGACAAGGGTGAAATGGAAGGTGGAGATGATCTCTAGGGTTCTGCTCAGGGTGTTGCATGAATAGAATGGGGCAAGTGAGTGAGGAGAAAGAGTTAGTTTGGAGAGAAAATTATTTTGGGTTTAGGTTTTTTTGTTTTGTTTTTTGATATTGGGAATTGAACCCAGGGGCACTCAACCACTAAGCCACATTCCCAGCTCTTTTAATATATTTTATTTAGAAACAGGGTGTCACTAAGTTTCTTAGGGCCTTTGGCTCAGTTGCTGTGGCTGGCTTTGAACTCGTGATCCTCCTATCTCAGCCTCCCAAGCCCCTGGGATTACAGGCAGGCACCATCATGCCTGGCTTGGGTTTAGTTGAGGAGCAATTTGAAGTGATAGTCGAATATCCAAAAGGAAGCATCTAAAAAGCACTGGAAAACACAAGCCTCATACTCAGAAAGGAGGGCAGGGACAAAGCTGGGGGTCATGTGAGGTATCTAGAGCTTTGTCTTCTCTTGTTGGCCGCCCTGCTCCCACTCTAGCCCAGTCCTGCTTCAGGTCTCATCTGGAACACGGACGTAACTTTCCACCTGGTCTCCCAGCCTCAGGTTCTTTGCCCCTGTTGGTCCCACACGCTACGATGACATTCCTCTTTTAGAAAACACAATTCTCATCACATCCCTCTCCCATCACCACCATCATCACATCAGCTGCTTTTCCCAAACCTACTCCCTACTACTCTCCAGACAAAGGAAAAACTCCTCCCAGTGTAGGACTCACAGTCTATCCTTCCAGCTCCCTTCTAGAACTGCCAGCCTGACTATTCAGCCAATCATCCCCTAAACACACAGTATTTCCTGTCTCCTTGACTTGTTTTTGTTGTTCTTGCTGTTCTTCCTTCCTGGAATRCACCCACCCACGACTCCACCTCTTGGAAGGCCCTGATCCTATAAATCTTTGAACCAGCATCTCTGCTTTTCTCTGTTTCTGCATCCAAAATGTCTCCTTGAGTCTTCCTCTTGCTATGTGCCTCTTCTTTGGTATTTAATTTTTTCTTGCCTTATAATAACTTATGTACCTGACATATCCCCTTATGATAACATAAACATAAATACAGTAGAACAAAAGGGCACACAGGACTAGCCAGGGTCTCTGGAAGAGAAATAACAAAGAGGCCCGAGAATAAAGCCTGGCAAAGGGGAAGGAGAGTGAACATGTCAAGGAAACCTGTCCCCCATCAGAAGTCAGAGACAGAGGGGGAGACTTACAGCTGACAGAGACACCAGCACTCGCTGGAACATGAAGGATGTGTCCGAGCAAATGTCATCTTCAAGGCTCCGTCCATATTCTAGCAAGAGAGTGGGATTAGCTACATTAGAATAAAGTGTCCTTTCCCACCCTGTGTCACCTTCCGGGGAGGTCTGTCCCTCGAAGAACAGCTTATTTACCAAGCAGCTCATGTCAAGGTTTCTCCCCTGTACACAGGTTTTTAAAAGCTAAACTCTGGTAAAATGATCAAGATAGAGTCATTGTAGTAGAAAGGAGATATCTCTGTTCCTTAAAAGAGGGGAGTTGAGAAGGGGGCCAAAACCGTTCTCTGGTTCCTAGTGTCCAGGGCTCTGTTTGGAAAGTGGTTGACTGGCTGCTGCGAATGGCCTCCACATCACAGAGGGAAGCATCCAGAGCAGCCTTTTGGGGACAGGTTCTGGGAGGTCTCCCCATAGGGGCTCCAACCCTCTGCAGGACRGAGGGGGGATCAGGGTGCTAATTCTAAACTCTTAAGGTTTAGAATTTCCACAAGCCCTTACTGTGCTGTTTTCTTTCTACAAAAGTCATACATGTTGACTGAAGAGAATTTAGGGAAAAAAAKAAAATAAAATAAAACACAGGGGAGGAAACTCTATCATAATCTAATCACCCAGAAATCATAATCACTGATCACATTTTTGATAAGAATATTTTCTAATTTTCCTCCTACATACACGCATTATTTTCTTTTCTTAAAAATGGTATCATATCATATTATTTTTTGACTTGTCTTTTTTCACTTATCTGTATACCACATCACTTAATATGACCTAATAATTTTGCAATATAAGATTTATTGATATACTATCCGTAGTGTAAGTGTACCCTATATTGTTTAGCCAATCTACTACAACTGGTGCAATCTACTACAACTGGACATGTTTAGCTAATATAAAAAATACCAAATAGGGGCCGGGGTTGTGGCTCAGCAGTAGAACACTCGCCTAGCACACGCGAGGCACTGGGTTTGATCCTCAGCACCACATAAAAATAAATAATTAAAATAAAGGTATTGTGTCCAACCACAACTAAAAAAAAATATTTTAAAAAATACTGAATAAACAGAATCTAACCCATTGTGAATTTTTTTTTCTATTTTTAGGGCCAACTGGCATTACATTTTTTAGTGTAAATTTATTTATTTAGAGTAAAAAAAAAATAAGAAAATGCTCAGGCACTTTTTTTTTAACATGTTGTTGAGGTAAAATATRTATGTAGTGATATGTAAAAATTTTAAGTGCACAGTTCCATGAATCTTGGCAAATGCATATCACCAATGTAAACAAAAATATATCAAGAGGGAGGCAAGTACTTTTTTAAAGAATTTTCCTACACATTGTCTTYTGGAAGTTTCTAAGAGGGGAATAAGTGGCCAGTATTCTGAGATGGATAGAGGAAATATAGTCCAGGCTGGAGGTCAGAAATTGGGCCAGTGAGTGCCTCTAGGCCATTGCTTAAAATGCTAGGAATCACTGGTATCAGCATTTTTTTTTCCCACCGAATCATGTCCCCAGCTCTTTTTATTTTTTGAGTCAGAGTCTCACTAAGTTGCTTAGGACCTCACTAATTTGCTGAGGCTGGCCATAAATTGGCGTTCCTCCTGCCTCAGCCTCCTGAGTCACTRGRATTATAATCTACTACCACACGCCTAACTGGTGCCAGCATTTTGAACAACCACCTTTGGTTCTTTGCTTGGTTATAAAGAACAACTTTCCARTGTTTAGGGTAACAAAAACACTGCATGGGAGTAGCCTAAGCAGAGTGGTGTCCTTCCCTAAGAAGTCTTAATGATGCCWATAGCTAGTCATTTGCGTAGACGGGGGTCTGCTTCAAAACAGAGTTTGGATTCCTCATGGTCAGTGTGTCCAAGAGAGGAGTGTAATCACTGGATAACCACTTGCTGCTAGTCTTTTTCTTAAATCAGGGCAAAACATCAGCCAGGGCCATTGAGGATGTCACATACGCTGCTGGTAAACCTGGTTGATGCGACGGATCTCCTCTGGGGTCCGGGAGGCCAGGATCTCAATCAGGCATCCTTCATCTGTGCCAGCTCCCTAAATACAAAAAACAGAGGAGAGGGAAGTATGAGCCAGTTTACAAGGCTGAAGTATAATTTTTTTATATTTTTATATTTATATTTTATATTTTTATATTTTATATTTATATTTTTATGTATCAGTTAAAACACCCCTGGGTTATATCTCCAATATATATTTTTAAAAAAGAAGGGAATCATTTGGTCCTTCCTGTGACTCAATATGAGTGATTTTAACTGCCTGTCTATCTGCAAAATAAAAATTAAAAATTGTGTCCCAAACACAGAAGGAATACAGCTATCAACCTGCAGAGGATAAATACAAACCCATGGGTTCTAGCAACAGGATTTGTTATCTTTTAAATACTCCAAACCCAATGTTTTTACCAGATCATTATCAGTAATAACAAATATTTATAGAATGTTTACCATWTGTTGGTTACTGTGTCAGGATAGATACTATTTCTGCCTTCTGCGGGCTTAATCTTTCCTTTACCTCTTTTATTTTCTTCCCTGAAGGCAGAATCTTCTGGCAAAGACTTTGTTACCTTTTTGTTTTCCCAGAGCCTCACCCTGAGCCTTCCACAAGGCCAAGTGTTTATTGAGATGGCTGCAGAGGGTCAAGTGTATTTTCATACTTGAAAATCTGCAGACCTGGGCTAGGGTGCAGTAGATTGACTGGTCGTGTAAGGAGGCCAAGAATTCTTTTGTCAGTTCTAAGCAGAGAACTCTCACAAAGTTCCATGCCTCARAAGTACCTAGCACAACAAGAAAGTTTCTAGAACTGCACCAAAAGCACAAATATCTGTTGGGGATGGAACACAGCCTTTCGGTACAAGTACAAGCTTAGCCTCCACGAGGCCCTGGGCTAAATCCCACCACTGCAGATAAATAGGCAGTTAAAATCACTCCTACTGAGTCACAGGAAGGATCAAATGACCCCCCCCCTTTTTTTTGTATTGGAGATATAACCCAGGGATGTTTTACCAATTAGCCACATCCCTTTTTATTTATGTATACATATACATATATGTACATATACATATACATGTGCATATACATATATATATATATATTTTTTTTTTTTTTTCTTTTGAGACAGGCACGAAGTTGCTTAGGGCCTTGCTAAGTTATTGAAGCTGGCCTCAAACTTGTGCTTCTCCTGCCTCCACCTCCCAAGTTGCTGGGATTACAGGTGTGTGCCTCCATGCTCGGCTGATTCTCTAACATTTTAGAAAAACAATTTTAAAATTAAAATTGCTGAAACATTTTTAAGTTGTCATAATGAGGGAAAACCTTTCTCCCATACTTTATCCTCCCATTCTTAGAAGGGCTTGGCCGCAGTTTCTTGAGATGGTGGTCCGTGTTGGTACCAACAGCTCTGAGGGCACAAGGGGARGAGCACGAACCTTTATGGCCTTTCGCAGCTCCTGCACATCGTACAGCACGGTGGGTGTCATCATGCCTATGATGACCTGCTCGAACTTGCCGCTTAGTTCTGAYTTCAAGTCATCCATCAGGTCCTGCAGTGAGAGAAAGCAGCCCTGCTTAGCTGCAGCAGTAAAAAATCAGCCATTCTCCAAGGGTGACCCCAGATGTTTGGGGTCTCCAAGATCCTTCCAGGAGGCAAGCAAGGTCAAAACCATCTTCACAATTACACGAAGACATTATTTCCCTTTTTATTGTCATACTCTCAAGTGTGTACAATGGAGTTTTCTTAAGATTATTATCTAGGGGCTGGGGATATAGCTCAGTTGGTAAAGTGCTCGCCTCGCATGCACAAGGCCCTGGGTTCGATCCCCAGCACCAAAAAAAAAAAAAAAAAAAGGAAAAAGATTACAAATCTATAAATCTACAGTTATGTCAAAGGCTATTCAAATACTCCCCACTGCCTAGAACTGCCTGTCTACACAAGAGCAGATTTTCTTCATATACCTCAAGCAGATATGAGAATCCAGRCCTCTCATGTAGCTGGACATTAAGGAGATTTGCAAAATGTTAAATAATGCCAATCTTTTTTTTTTAAAGAGAGAGAGAGAATTTTTTAATATTTATTTTTTAGTTATCGGAGGATACAACGTCTTTCTTTGTATGTGGTGCTGAGGTTCAAACCCAGGCCGCACGCATGCCAGGCGAGCGCACTACCACTTGAGCCACATCCCCAGCCCAAATAATGCCAATCTTCTCACCACATTTCTTGAMTAGTTACTTCTCATAAAAATGTTAGAGTAGTAAGTAATATATTCACTATTTTCAATAAGTTAGCTGTATGTCTTAAAATGTCATTTTTWAAATTTCTAACATGACCAATAGATATAACTCACACAAATTTAAAAAGGACTCAAAAATTGAAGGGTGTGAGGACGCTCTGAGATGGAAATACTCTCAGACACTAACCGAAATGCATTGTTTACTTAATGATATATCAGGCATATATTTCCAAGTCAGTATTTGCCTATGGCATTTTTAACAGCTGCAGAGATTCCTACACATGCACTACGTTCCAAGTTTATATTTTTCCATTATTATATACAGAAGATACTGAGTTGTATCTTTGTGATCATCTGTGATTATTAAGGCTTGCTTTCTAAGAAAAAGTGTAATTATTTGGACAGARAACCAAATTCTAAAGACATTAAAATCATTTCCTTCTACAACAGGTCAGGGAGTTTAAGAACCTGTTTCAGATCAACTGACAATGAAAACTGAGTTGCTATTCAAATCCAGCTGTCTGATTCTCACAAACCCAGTCCCACGACTTTTTATGCCAGTCTCYTGGGGATATTTTTACCCTACATCCAAACACAYTGAATAAATGAATAAATAAATGAGTGCTTGGTTGATCTGTTAATGTTGGCCATCTTCACAAATTTACCGTCAGGTTGGCTGTCACCCCTGAATGTGTGTGGCAACACCACTTTGGTCTCAAGTTCACTTGTCATGTGCACATTCATGCCTATTAGTGCTCATTCAATTTCTTTGGAAAAGGAGAAGAGCTTAAAATGTCCAGAATATAGAGGCACTCTGATCATGGAGGCCCCATCCCCACAGGGATACCCAGAGTTTGCAAGCAGATGCTGTGGGGAGCAGCTGGGCCAGCACAGCCCTACCCAACAGGGAGGTGCCTTTCTTTGAGAAGCAGCCTCCGTTTGCCTGGCTGTGAAATCTCTCAAGGACAGGCAAACTTGCCATAGAGTCACTCTACTCTGAGGTCCGGAGACACTCACTGATGTGGTTTCCTCAATAACCATACTCATGGGTGTTCCAAAGGGATGGCGAGACTTGATGGAAAAGATTCTGGTGAATGAGTCMATGAAAACAAAGACTAGAGAGTTCCTGAGAGATGTGGGATTCAAAYCAAAAGGAGAAAATGTGGGGAGTGAACACTCTCCCAATCCATCAGCTACAACACATACATACGTTTACATACGTGAGCACACATACATCCCTGTTTTAGAACTTAAGAGGGTGCCCCTCAACTGAGTCTCATTGAAGGAATGAACATATTCTGCAAATAGATTTATGTGGAAGAGTCAGGATACTACGTCCTAGAAGAGACTATTTAAAACACCCTGGTTTGAATATTTTCGTCAGTTTGGCAAGTCTTCATCTGCAGGGCCAAGAAACCATCTCTGGAAGTTCAACCTTGCCTAATGCTCTCAAGGGCAGTGATTGAGGCCATAGACCCAGGCCCTGTGTCGAGGACTTTGTCTAAAAGGATCAAGATTGGCCTYGAGGTCTGACTCAACCCTAAAATCACTTCTTGATGAGCATGGTAGAGAATACCAAGAATATCTTTTTRTTTTGTTTTGTTTTGGTATTTTATTTTCCAATTATTTATTGAGCAAATGATATGATAAATGTCTATATTTTATTTTTTTTAATTTATTTATTTTAATTAGGTATACATAATAGCAGAATGCATTTTGATTCATTGTACACAATTGCAGCRCAACTTTTCATTTCTCTGGTTGTACAAGATATAGCACCACACCCCATATACCTAGGGTAATGATATCCATGTCTCACCATCTTACCAAGAATATCTTTTTAAAAAATTTTTTTTGAAAACACTGTTTTTTTCCAGTGCTAGAAATTAAACCCAGGAGTGCTCTACCACTGAGCTACATCCTCAACTCTTTATTTTTTACTTCAAGACAGTCTCACTAAGTTACCAAGGCAATCCTCCAATTTGCCATCCTCCTRTCTCAGCCTCCTGAGTAGATGAGATTGCAGACATGAGCACCCAGGCAATATTAAGTGTTTTTAGTTGACGTTTAGTAATGATGAATATATATGGGATAYARTGTGAYATTTCAATTCATGMATATAATGTGTATATATCATGTATATATGTGTATATAATCAGTATAACTGGCCTATCTATCCCCTTGGATATTTTTTATTTCTTTGTGTTTGGAACATTCAAAATATTCTTGACTAGTTATTTTGAAATATTCAATTAATAAATAACCATAGTTATCCTTCTGTGCTACAGAACGTTAAAATTTATTCCTCCTCTCCAGCTGTTTCCAGGTACCCATCCTGCCTTCATCACACACTTCCCAGACTCCAGTAACCACTGTCTTCAAGAACATCTTTTTTTTTTTTTTTCAGTACCAGGGATTGAACCCATGGGGCACTTAACCACTGAGCCACATCCCCAGCCCTTTTTAATATTTTATTTAGAGACAGGATCTCGCTAAGTTGCTGAGGCTGGCTTTGAACTGGAGATCCTCCTGCCTCAGCCTCCCAAGCCGCTGGGAATACAGGCATGTGCCACTGCGCCCAGCACAAGAACATCTTTCAACAAGATGAAGGATCCATCTTTTAAAACAAAGKGTCCTTCAGACATGTGCCTCTGGGAGAGGTCCTGCTTCCCTGCTGCCTGACAAGTCCCCTGTCACCAGAATAGAGCAGAGAGGCTACACCTACCCTGCCAATGTTGCTCTTGTAGGCTGTTCTGATTTCCTGGCGYTGGGCCGTGTTGCGGTAGGCGAGGACTCCAATGATGGCATCTTCATCRGTGCCTGGGGATAAGGTGGTAACAATTAGTGACTGATTTGAGAACGAAATTGGAAAATGGGTTCCTCTGCAGACACTGGAGTTACCCCAACAGTAGTAAGACAGCTTATTCGGAAAAAAAAGTCCTTGTTCTKAGCGTTTGTCTATTTTATTGGAACACAGATGGAAGTTTAAGTCTTAGCTTCTTTAATTAGCAGAATAGTTAACCTCTCTAAGCATTAGTTTCCTTATCTATAAACGTGAATGATTACAGGACTTCCCTCACCGAGTTACTGCAAAGGCTAAGGCAAAGAACTCAGTACAAAGCCCAGCACCTACTCAATACCCAATAAACATCAACTAGGAAAATTCTTCTCTGGGATTCTCTTCTTGACTTTCAGATCTGCTGTCTYCTAGGGTTTTGCCTCTTCTGTTTTTCCTCTGCCTTTTGAAGCAATTCAAACTTGTATTTAATTTCTCAGATGGGGTGTTTCTCAGAGTTTAAACTGGCTGCCACGGCATTCACTGTGCTTTAAAGCCYGTGATTGTGTTTTTCATTTCATTCGAGCTATCTTTCTCCATCTCCAGTGGTTCCCTTTTTAAAACTAAAGACAAATTCCCATGATACAATATCTTACCCAACCTTAACATTAGAAATGTTCCAAGTTTTGCTTTTTATAAGGGGACTTTATGCTAATTTTCAAACTGGCTCCTCATCTTTTTAACAGCTGAACATTTAGTAACTTTTCTGCTTCCTCATTGTTTATGCCTTATGGAAAGTTGTGATGGTATTTATAAAAGTGTTTCTATTGAACTATTTTGGAATGAAATGAAAAACATATAGGTTTACCATAGTTATTCTTTGCAAGATTAGAGATCTGGAAAAATGTGAGGTATGGGGAGTAAAGCTAGAGAAAATTAAGTTCACGTAAGATAGGGGCCTACTTTCTGTTGGTGTTAAAAAAAAAAAAAAAGATCAGACACAACCATCTTTTTCTCTTTTAGAACTCTCAGCTAGGAAGAAGTTTCCTTACCTTTTTCTCATCTCCTATTTCTGTGAAAGACACCACCCTTCCTCCAGTTGGCCAAGTTTGTATTCTCAAAATAGCTTTGATTTTTTTTTAATCCACCTCCATATTTAAATTTCCTGCCAAGTCATGCAAAAAAAAATACAACCTTTTTTTTTTTTTGCATCCATGATCTCTTTTTGACTCTTAGCACTACCACTCCAATTAAGGGCTTCAGGATTTCTTCCTAGACAACTGTAAAATGCTAACCAATATTTTTACCTTCTAATTAGTTTTATCAGAGTCGTGCCAGATTCTTTTTACTAAAAGGAAAAGCTCACCATGTTCCTCGCCTGCTTGGAAATACACAATGGCTCCCCCTTGTGGCTGGATTTCCCATAGGGTTGCGGCTGGCCTTGGAGGCTCTCAATCTTTCATTCATTCTCCTTTCCCAAAGGAAAGGACACCAGGCAGCTGCATTCACAGATTAAGCTCTTGGATTATTGTACTCCACCCACCCATACTGCACCCTATTCTCCCAGTTTCCTGTCAGTTTAGATGTCTCCCTCGCCCTTTGCATTTAGGGTCATGACTCTGGAATTGGTTGTTACCTGCCATGTCTGTGGCTTTCTTTCWTTTTCTTTTCTTTTTTGGTATTTATTTTTTTATTGKTTTTTTTGAAGTGACTTTTTAACTTTTTCTTTTTAAATATACATGACAGTAGAATGTATTTGGATAAAGAAAATGTAAAAAAAAAAGACACGTACAATGGAATATTACTCAGCCATAAAGAAGAATAAAATGATGGCATTTGCAGGTAAGTGGATAGAGCTGGAAAATATCGMGCTAAACAAAATAAGGTAATTCCCCAAAACAAAAGGTGGAATGTTCTCTCTGGTATGTGGAGGTGGCTTTCTAAGTAGCATCCCCACATAGATCTTTTTGTGCCTWGCTCAGTGATGTCCATGCACTAATTGATCACCATGACTAGATGTTATAATCCTTCCTCCTCCAACAGTCCAACATCTCATTGGCACACACAAGGCAACCACTGAAAAGGGTTGATTTTGCCAAATGTCTCCACTCTTGTTTTGAGAATCCCAAGTGCTATATAATATTTGCTCTAAATTATATTCATGTTATACACCAAATAATTAAGATGAACCTGAAAATAATAGGTGAGTCCAGTATATTTTCTATTTCACTTGGAGAAAGAGGAGAAAAAAGAGCAAGAAGAGGCAAAAAAAAAAAAAAAAGAAGAAGAAAAAAAGAAAGAAAGAAAAAAGAAACTGAGAAGAACACATAGACTCAGAGCAATGTTCTGCTCAGAGGGGGTCAGCAGGAGAGCACAGGGGCCTAGACTCCAGCTCTGAAGTCAGATGGCCTGAGATTGCCTACCTGGAATTTCCTGGATTCCTGACTATATCACATATTAGTTCTGAGACCTTGGGAAAGTCAGCTAACCCCCCTACACCTCAGCCTCTCTCTCATAAGTGAAGTAAGCTRCTCTCAGGGTTAAAAGGAAATAATCCACGTTAAACACCTATGTTTATGCCTCACACATGGTAYAGCCTAATTTGCTATTATTGTTAGTGCTGCTGTTACTATTAGTAGCATCAAAGTTAAGTCAAATAAACTCTTTTTTAGATAGAAGGATTGAGAAATTAGATCCCATGGTTGAGGGATTTTACCCAAATCTCAAAAGAGATTCTAAATAATAGCTAAGAACCAAGGGACACTTCTCTGACCCAAAGTGTGCCCTGACGAGATTCTGGCAGCAGAAACTAGGCCAGGGTAGCTACAGGGCTCTCCACCTGACTCTGCTCATTCAGGGCAAGGCCTGTGGCCCTGGGGGTGACRGAGATAAATGAAGGACGGTGTCATGGAAGACACGACCAGCCTTCTTACCTAAAATTCCTTGTATTCATACTGGTGTTGCTGGGGCTGTGCCAGTCACCCCAGTTCCAAGCAGAGGAACTCAAGGGACTTAGAATTGGCAGGCCTGAGCTGGAGGCTGGGAACCATCTCTAGCAAGCCAGCCAAAGCTCAGTTGCACCTACTATGTGACTTGGTGAGAGTTATTAGGCTTCTCTGGGTCTGTTTTCTATCTGTAAAATCGGGCTAAAATGACCATAGCCGTTTGCACTAAGTCACAGGTTTGTTGTATCTRTCCAATGGGATAATGTTTGTGGCAGTGCTTGGTAAAGCTATGGCACTATACATAGACCAGCACTTATTAGAAAACAAATACATGAAATTTTATACAGAGGTTCATGGTATAATTCAAATAGCAGCTTTAAGCAACTGGAGAAATCCATCATGAGTGCATTAAATTTAAAATTCTGGGGCTGGGGATGTGGCTCAAGCGGTAGCGTGCTTGCCTGGCATGCGTGCGGCCCGGGTTCGATCCTCAGCACCACATACCAACAAGGATGTTGTGTCCACCGAGAACTAAAAAAAAGTTTTAAAATTCTGTATTAAGTGGAGAATTTTTTAATGCCCTACCATCCGATTTGTCTTATAAAGCCAATTTGTTCCCGTGGACTTTCTTTCTTTTTTTCTTCTGTGGTGCTGGGAATGGAACTCAGGGCCTTGCACATGTTAGGCAAGTGCTCTACCACTGAGCTACATCCCAGGCCTCACTGTGTTTTCCTAAGGGGAGACCTACTACCAGTTGCCAGTGCACATGGCATCCTCCCATGTGATTCTCCTATAAACACACAAGGGAGGATTCACCTCCTGCAGGACACTTACCCAGCCCTTTCATGGCCTTCCGCAGGGTCTGGGCATCCTCAACAGCATTGAATCCTGATGCAGCTTTGATGGTACCTCCTTTGGTTGCCTGAGAACAGAGAGAATGAGGTGACTGAGAAGCAGCATCTCACCAACACAGAGGCAGCTCATCCCGCATATAGTTGCTGAGTAACTACGGTGGCTCAGACTGTACGTTGAGGATACAGCAGTGACCGTGAATGAGGCTCTTGCCCTTGTGGAGTTGATGTTCTGGTTCAAGGGGAGGCAGAGTGCAAACAAGCCAACAAATAAATATTCTATGAAGTGCCTGGTGGTGGGCTGGGGAATGTARTCAGTGGAGTACTTGCTAGCATGCATGAGGCTCTGGGTTCAATCCCCAGCACCTACACAAAATGCCTGGTGGTGAGAAGTGCTACAAAGCAGATAGAGAGGGCCTGGTTGGGCTGCTCAAATGAGTGACACTTAGGCTGAGAGCTGAATGACGTGAAGCAGCTGACCATACAGAGATGGAGGGAAAGTGTTACAGGCGGAGGAAACAGTTACTGCAAAGGTTCTGAGGCTGCAAGTAGCTTCTAGAAAGAACCAGAGGTCACTGTGGCTGAGTTGGTGGGATGGAGGTGAGTGGTACAAGAAGTTATACCATCAACTACAAAGTAGTCTCACATCCTCAAAAAAGGAAAGAAAAATCAAATCTGAATCCAATCAAGCCTCCAGAGCAAAAAAAAAAAAAAAAGAAAAAAAAATTATAGCAAATAGAAGAGGAAAATGTTAAAACATACCAAAAGATTGCAATCGGCAAAATCCAGCCTAAGAAACACTATTTAACAAATGATTTAAGGGATGTGAATATATCTCAGAGGTAGAGTGCTTTCCTAGCATGTGCAAGGCCCTGGCTTGGATTCCCAGTGCAGAAAAAAAAAAAAAAAAAAAGAGAGAGAGAGAGACTTAGTTGCTTCAACAAATAAATTGCAGGGGCTGGGGATGTGGCTCAAGCGGTAGCGCGCTCGCCTTGTGTGCGTGCGGCCCGGGTTTGATCCTCAGCACCACATACAAACAAAGATGTTGTGTCCGCCGAAAACTAAAAAGTAAATATTAAAAATTCTCTGTCTCTTCTTTAAAAAAAATAAATTGCAAAGGGTATTAAGAGAGAGAGAGACAGGTGGAGGGGGACTGTAGTTTAAAAAGACATATCAGTAATCATGATTGTGTGAACCTTATTTGGATCCGGAATCAAACAATAAGAAAGAAAAAATAGAGGTTTATGAGACAACTGGATATTTGAACACTGAGTTGATATTTAGCGACATTAAGGCATCTTGAGATTTTTAGATATGATAATGGCACTATGGTTATATTTTAATTGTTAAGACGTTTACCCTAATAGAATTGAAATAACTTCCAGATGAAATTATATTGGAAATACGTTATCAAAGAACACAGATAGGAGGAAGTAAGTAAAGAAGAAATGATAYTGACGATGAGTTAATAATTACCGATAGGTGTGCCAAAGTGTCCTTATAATAACTTGTTTACTTTTACATATGTTCAAACTTTTCCATAATAAAAACTAAAGATAGAAAAAAAGCAAAGAAAATTAGAGACACAGGTTGGGGTCTGGGCAAGGCAGCCCTTCTGAGCTGGATAAAAAGTTTGCATTTTATTCTAAGGGTAGGAGGAAGCCAYCGCCAGGTTTTAAGGAAGGAGATGGGGCCATGGGATCCGATCTGCACATTAAAAAGATCACTTGGGCTGCTGTAAGGAGATGCAGAGACCAATTGAGAGTCTGGGCCAAGATTGGGAGTGGGAAGTGTTGCTAGACTAGAATGAAATAGCTCAGATGGAAATAAACAGGCAGATTCAGCACATGTTTTGGAGCAAAGGCGACAGAACTTGCTGATGGGCTGATGTGGGAGGTGAGRAAAGAAAAGAATTAAGTATAACTCTCCATCATTTTCTTTGAGCATCTGGGTAAAAAGTGCTATCACTCACCCCCAGATGGGGAAAACTGGAGGAGGACTATCAGATTTGGGGTGGTAGTGGGGGGTGGGTGGGATTTGAAAGTTCTATTTTCAACATGTGAAGTTTGGGATGTCCATTAGGCATCCAAGTGGAGTTGTCAAAAATTAAAGTTATACAAGACAARTCCTGAAAGGCAAGTCTAAAGTAATATACTTAGGTTGCCTCAGCAAGTRGACAGTATATGATGAGATGACCCAGGGAGAAAGCAGAGGATAAGGACAAGACCTAGGACACTACAGGTCCAGCAGAAGGAAACCMATCAAGAATGACTGAGAAGGAGCAGCCCTGGAGATAAAAGGAAACCCGGAAGAGTACATTGTCCAGAGGCTAAAGATAGAGGGAGTGGTCAGCCCCTGCTGCAGTGAGAAGCCCAGTGGAAAGAAGCACAGGCACTGGTGTGGGATAGACCTGTCACCAATCCTTTCTCTCTGTGTGGCCCTCATTTTTCTCACCTGCATATTGGGAATATATCAATTCACAGGGCATATCAACTTACAGGGTTGTTATAATAATGCAATAGGATAATTAAGGAAAGTACTTAGCTAGCACAGAACCCGCCCCCCCCCCCAAAAAAAGAAAATACTAAAACAAAAAGAAATTAGATGGCTATAATCACTGCCATCATTATCATCATCATCATCATCATCATCATCATCATCATCACTTAATATGGTTGTAACCACATTACCATAATAAATATAATAATGAGATTCTTTTGTCTTTTTCTTATAATATTCCTCAATGCCAAAGCAGAAACAAGGCGGAGCATTGGTACAAGGTGGTAAAACAGTGTAGAACAGAGCTAAAGCTTTCAATAATTTAATTTGATCTAAGGACATACTACAAGATTTAAAGGGACGCAAGATTTTCATACTCTTAGAGTAGTTCTCCAGCAAATCAAATTTGAGTTGTATATGCTAGACTGTCTTGGCCTGGACTGCTCTGGCCGATTGTGGGCACATTGAGCCCATCCAAGGCCCAGGGTACCACTGGGCATGGGCTTCTGTTGAAACACCAGGCTTTCATGTCCTGGATAGGATCAATGTCCAACACTCACTCATTACCCACTATACAACTGACCAGAGGAAAGTAGAGGTCCATGACACCAGCCTCCTCGGGCACTGTGGTCAGTTCAATTGTATCCCTGAGAAGACATGTTAGAGTCCTAACCCCCAGTACTCCAGACTGTGATTTTATTTGGAAATAGGTCGTTGCAACATAGGTAAGATGCCATCCTATAAGAAGACGGCCACATGGAGACAGATACAGTGTGACTGCAGTATAATGGCAAAGGCACAGACTGGAGTTCCACAGCTGATAGTCAGGGAACACCTAAGATCACCAGGAAACCACCATAAGCTCAGAAGAGGTGAGGAAGGTCTTCCGTATAGGTCTCAGAGAGAGCAGGGGCCAGGCTGACACCTTGATTTTTTTTTTTCTGTTCAATTTTATTTTTTTATTTTATTTTTTTATTGGTTGTTCACAACATTACAAAGCTCTTGACATATTGACACCTTGATTTTGGAGCTGTGGTTGCCAACACTGTGAGACAATAAATTTCTATGATTTTAAGCCACCCATTTTGTGGATACTTTGTTACAGCAGCTCTCTGAACCTAATACAGGCACCTTACTTCTTTTCCTCTACCATATATCCTTAATAATAAGCAAATTGATGATTTGCTATCAAAATTCCAATATGGCCTAACAGCCTTTGCCCCTCCATGAGATTGTGTGTGTGTGACTGTGTGTCTGTGRTGGTGGGGGTTGAACCCAGGGCCTCTCACATGCTAGGCAAAAGCTCTATCACTGAGCTATATCTCCAGCCCTGAGGTAGCTTTCTGAGTTACATTTTACAAAGTTCTTTTTCAGCTCCAGTATTGAAAAATTTGTAGATGGTATTCAGACACTGTATTAGAGTGTAAAGCAAACTGCATTGCTGAGAGACTATTATGGGATTAAAATTAATATCTAACAAGATAAATTGATAGAGGGACTTGCAAGGGCAGTTTAATTTATCTATTTGCATTCTAAGTGATTCTTCTCCCCCCACCCCMGAAAACTAAGGCAAAAAAATTATTCTTTGTTAGTCCTTTAAGTACCTGTATTAATTAAATTCGAGGGGCACAATGTATCATTAACCTTCAGGCAAGTTGGATTTTCATCCATCCCAGGAAGGCTTATTGTAATAGTAGGCAAAGGAAACAGAGAGCATGTAGAAAAGAATGATAGAAGTGAATAGCTAGAAATAGGTGCTATGCCAGCCAGGAGCAGTGGTTCACRTATGCAATGCCAGCTACTTGAGAGGCTAAGGCAGGAGAATTGCAAGTTCAAGCTCAGCCTCAACAACTTAGTGAGATCTTGTTTCAAAAAAATAAAAAGGCTGGGGATGGAGCTCAGTGGTAGAGTGCCCTTRGGTTCAATCTCCAGTACTGGGGTTGGGGGACTGGCAGGAAGAAGTAGATGCTATACCATAATCAATGAAGTATTATTGTTATTATATTAATAAGAAAAACAATAAACATCAGAAAGATTCTAGTACAATACAGTGTTATACTAATGAGCAATAAAAAGGAAAGGTGGAAGAAACGACAACTCATACAGATACATGGATGAGTTACAAAAAATATAATGCTCAGAGAAAAGTCAGACACAAGAGTCACATGCTTTAATTCCACTTGTGGGATGTGCTAGAAAAGACAAACCTCCTCTATGGAGATGACAGTCAAAACAGTAGTTGTGTTTATGGGATGGAGTGCAGAGCAGAGAGGGGACTGACCTGGGAGGGCATGGAGGAGCTTCTTGGAGGGATAAAAGGTACTGTCTTGATGGAGGAGTGGGCTGCCTGGGTAGTGAATCTGGTCAAAACTCTCCAGCAACCTTAAAGTCTATGCATCTCACTAAAAGCAACTTACAACTCATAAAAATCATTTAAAATACTTGAATACAATGGCTTTTAAAATGTATGGTCAGGGCTGGGGATGTGGCTCAAGTGGTAGTGCGCTCGTCTAGCATGCGTGAGGCACTGGATTTGATTCTCAGAACCACATAAATGTAAAATAAAG